CTTGTGGGTGCTGTGTAATTCATGTCTCTAGCCCCAGTGCTCACCTGAGGTGTCAGGGCCAGTGGAAAGAGTTGTGGCTGGAGGGTGGCTGGTGTCCCTTGCTGTGAGGGATGTTTTGGGATGGGCTGGATCAGTTTGGGGTGTCTGTTTGTTCACTGGCTCTGGAATAAGCTCAGACCTGGCTCGTGGGTGACCAAAGAATTTCTCCTGCTGGACCTGACCTTGGCTTTCCAGTTTTCCAGTCACTGCTCTCAAGAGACAGGTATGAATTTGGGGCTTTTAACTTGTTGGGGTAAGGAAAGATGTTTTAGGTTATGAATATGTTCTGCCTGTTCCAGATGAAAGTTGAAAACATCTGCTTTGATTAAACCTCCTCCTTCTCTGATATCATTACTTGCTTTCCCTCCTGAGACTGAACTACTGGGCAAATCCTTGAACACAGCCTTTTACTCAAAAAATATCTTTGTTAATTTACAGATTTGCAATGTAACCACTTAGTGGTAAAAGCTTTGTTGACAAGGTCTGATTTGGAGCCTGTTCTCTGTCCTGCAAGCTGCCAAAGGGAAAAGCAAACCCTTACCTGGGCATAGCTGCTGGTGTGGCAGGGCTGTCTCATGTTCCATGTGGTTTTCTCTTATTTCTTCCAAGATATTTCATGGTTTGACTTCTGCAGAAAGCTGGAGAGCTCGAGTCTGGCACCTGAGTTAGTGAGGCACAGTTCTGACTCTTTGCAGCTTATTTACAAAAGAGAGCTCCAGAATCACTCCTGGGGCAGGCAGGAGTGATTAACTTTTAACTTAACTTTGGTGCCACGGAATCAAAGGGAATCCTCCCCCTGCATGAGCAATGGCACCTCAGGGAGGTGACTGGACTCAGTTGTGCCATGCTGACACTACAGTGTAAGTTCATAGGAAGCATCCCCATTTGCTGCTCTGTCTCCTCCTCTCTTCTCTTGGTCTCAGCAAATCCATGGCACTGCCAGGGAATTTAGATCAAGGCTTTCTCTTGAGCAGAGTGGAATACTGGAATACCTCCTGATACTGCCTTGAATTATATTTTGAAATTTGGGAAGAGGATGAGGAGGAGACCATTTGTGTCTGTCTGCCTCACTGTCACTCTTCTCTAGTTCCTTATCTTGCTCTTTTGGGGAAGGTAACATCCAGTTCTCCTCATGCACTGTTTTTACTTACTTTTCACCACTTAGTTTATTCTCTAATTGCCAAAGGAATTTAAGGATTAATTTAAGGATTAATTTAAATTCCAGTGTACTTGAGATACTCCCTAACTTGTTGCTGTTTTTTTTTCTTCTGCCTTTTCTGTTTTCTCAAGCCCACAGGTATGAAGAGATTAATAAAGCAGCTTCTTTATACAGTTTATAGTGCAAGTAAATGCTGAGGTTACCTGTCACAGCAACACTCTTTGTACTAAACACGATAGGTGGAAGGCTTCTTTATAGAAAAGGAATAGGATGAGATCTGTCTGGAGTTGGTGTTGAAATTGCCCCCTCTGGAATGTGCTGTGGTGTTGGAGAGCTGGGACTGCAGGAGTGGCACCTCTCTGAGGATCACTTGAGACCCCAGATTTTCTCTTGCCATCTTGTCCCGTTGTCTCACTTTGCTCTTTCTCCTCTCCAGAAAGGAAAACCATCAGCTGCACTTAATCCTGACATATGTTCCTGTTTAATTTGTTACGCCAGGATGGGAAGTGGAGCAGTGAAGGAAATCTGGTGCACACCAACAGCCAGAGCGGGGGCAGATGAACCCAGGCAGGGAGGGAGGGCTCCAGGTGCAGTCACAGCTCCGGGGCTCTCTGGTCTCTTGCACACCTGGGCTCCTTAAATGGGACACACAAATAAGTAGGGCAGGAGCACAGGCTGGTGCCCAGCCCGAGCTGAGATCTGGAGCTGAGCTGTGAAATCTGCACTGAAACAGCATCTCAGTGGGTTTTCTTCTCTCTGAGTCATCTTCCCATGGGAAATTCCAGTGTGTCTGGGGCTGGGGAGGCAGCTCTCCCAGCCAGGTGTCCAGGTCACTGCTGCCTCTTTCCCCATCACCCCGGGCACGTCCTGGTGCAGAGCTGAGCACGTGGCACTGCAAAGTTTGGACATTTGGCAGTCAAAGTGTTGTGCCATAAACGTGTCTGGCCTGCTCCTGCAGGCACTGCTTGAGAAGTAAGAACAGCATTTTTGTTTCTAATCCAGGTAAGGTTTGGAAGGAGGAGTTCTTGATTCCAGTTTGGGCAGGTGTCTTGCTCTGGTGCTTGGAGCATTCAGTCTTTGACAACAATTCTTATTAGAGTATCATCCAAAATCTGTGATGACATTTGACTCTTTAGGTGAGTGACACAGCTGAGTGACTTGCACATGTTGTGAGGAGCATCTCTGCATCCTCCCTGTGCATCTGGAGGCAGTGCTGAAAAGCTGCTCTTGGTGAGCCAGTAAATGTTTCCAAGTGGTGGAAGGGAAAGAATGAGATCAGGAAGGCAGCTTTTCTTCAGAGAGCAGCTCACTGGCTCAGTTTTAGCCCCAGGTCAACTCAAGGCTGACTCAAGCCCTTGGTCACAGCCTGGTTTGCTCAGATGATTCTCATTAAATGGACATGTTTAGGCTAAAAATGAAGAGCTTCAGAAAGATGGTTTTTATCTGCATTTATAGATGCCCTAGGTCATTAGCAGGAAGCTTTTAAATTTAACAATCCTGTTTGCTTCTTGTCTGTTGGAGTGGGCTTGGAAAGGAAGGTGTTGGCTTCTTGTGGGCTTCAGTTTTGGTGTCTCGCACAGTAGCTGGTTTTATTTTGGGGTTATAAATTCCATGCAAAATTTATCTCCCTCCTTGTAAATTAACCAAATTAGTTCTGCTTTCTTAATGTGCCCTAGGAACCTTTTAGGAAGGAATAGGAGAAAACAAGGATTTTATGCTCTCCAGAGTATGGCAATATCAGGTTGGCCATGTACACCTGGGAAAGGGGATTTCATGGGGAGAGGGAGAAGAGGAGGAGGCAGATGGGTGACAGTGGGTCTCTGGATGGTCATCAGGCAGCTGACACAGAGTGCTGGAGAGGCACAATTAGTGCTGTTTAGATAGAAAAATTTGGGTCATTTAGCAATGTGTCCCTTCCTTACCCAGGTGAGGGAACTCAGACTTTTTGTGGTAGAAATACTCCTAACTTTGTGTACAAAATCTCAGTTTTGCTGCATTTATTTAGAGAGGAGAGAAAGTCAGGGGGTTTTCCCTGCTCTTGCTGATAAACTCACCTGCTGGAATAGGTGCCTACATGTATAAATAATGTCATGTTCCTACATCAAAGCATGGTTATTCATCTGAATTTCATATTCATGCGTGGGAATGACAGGGAGAGTCTGCACATCAGGGTTCAATTGTATGGAAGCTGGACCACATGTACAGTAGTTTGCAATATGGGATTAATGTAGTTATTATATATTAAAATTAATGGTAGTTTCCCATGGCTTCAATATCTCCCCACTTCATGACAGAATTTTTTCCTTTTCTTGAAAGCAGGCTTAGATAAATGAAGACACAGATGTTCTGGGATGTGGGTTTTGTAGCGATTCCAACCCAAGTTATTCCACCTGTACTGACAGGGCAGGAAAACATGGATTTTCAGTGTATATCGTCCCTGCTTCCCCTTCCTGCAAACAGCAGAAAGAAATGCTGGGAATAACCAAGTTCATTTGTTACCTCCTGGCATTCCCCATGACTTGCCATAAGGAAAACAAATGAGGCAGCTCGGTGGCAGAGCAGGTGCTGGGGCTGACAGAGCAGATCCCAGGCAGCAACACAAGGGCTCAGGTGCCAGTTTGTGTTTTCTCTGCTCTTGAAAGCAGCGTTTTTGTTGCTGGGAGTCGAGAAGGAGCAGGTTTGGGTTGTATTTCAGTGCAGAATTTTGCTCCCTATTCAGCACTCTATGGGAACGCAGCATTTCGTCGCTTTGCTCGGGCTCAAAAGCTGAGTTTCTTGCAGCTGACAGATATCGGTAAGAACTGTGGGTAGCAAATTAGATGGTAATGGTCCCAAGCCCAGCTTGCATCACTGGAGAGGTGGGAGTTGAGCTCTGTCACAGCCTGAGCTGGGCTGCAGCTGGACGTGCAGGGGAGCTGGCCGTGTTTCTGGGTGGGACAAGCTGCTCACATCTCGTTAATTGAGTTAATTGAGCGAGGGAAGGGGAGCCTGAAGAGCAGGGAGTGGGGACCATCATCTCAGAGGGGTGATTTCTTTGGAGTCATGGACACTGGAGACACTAGCAGTGCAATACAGAGCACCCCTGGAATGAGACTAGCTCCCATGGGAGCTGTGCTTTGAAGATCCTTAGGCTTTGTCTACATTTTAAAAGCCAAAAATGCCTCAAAACACCCCTCTCTAAAAAAAAAACCCCTCCCTATTATATTAGGATATTTCTTCCTTTTTGTCTTGTGAAGCTGATCCCACTGGAGCTGGGAGTGCAGTCACACTGTTCCCCTGAGCTGGGACATCCCTCAAGGCTGGAAAGAAAGCTGGTGGTAGATTAGACACGAGAGACAGCACACAGGAGTGGGGCTGTGAGTAGCTGATACCAGCTCACCTCTCCAGCCCCAGGCCCGTTCCAGTCACTTCTGGCACAGCCCAAATCCAGATTATTTGTTGCATGACTCCCAGAGGTTGGGATTCCCCTGCAAAGGCTCAGCGAGGTGAGTGTGGGCACATCTGGGGAGTATCAGAGAGATCTTCAATAGGGGCAAAGCAAATGGGCAGAAACGCTTTGAACAGCACCTTTGGGCTTGAGAGGTGAGGAGATGGAGGCAGGAGGTTGGGATGGTGAGCACAGGCAGCACGGGTGTGACCCCAGGTGCCTGTCCCCAGCCCGGGGCCCTGCAGAGCGGCGTGGGAGCCGTGCGTGACTTCCCCAACTCTTCTTATCTTCAGCCCTGCACCGTTCCTGCCATGCTGGGCGGGGAAATGCGTGTTGGTGACTGTCTCTAAGCCTTGCCACCTTCTCTTGGTACAGTTGCCGGTGAGAAGAGGGTGCCAGTGATGCCCGGCTCGCCCGTGGAAGTGAAGATACAGTCCAGGTCGTCTCCTCCCACCATGCCGCCGCTGCCCCCCGTCAACCCCGGCGGCCCCCGGCCCGTGTCCTTCACTCCGGCTGCACGTAAGACCCCGGGAATGCTGCGGGCCCCTGGGAGCAGCTCCAGCCGGGAGGGAAGGCTCTGCTCATGGAACTCACCAGGATGTCTCAGCCCTCGGCCAGGGCACAGGGGGTGATGCTGCCTGCCTGGGACAGGGGGGGATTGGGGCTCTCCTGCAGTTCTGCAGTGCAATGCAGCAAATAAAACAGGGCGTGTTATCCCCCTTTGCCTGCTCCTGCCTTGCTCCCAGTGCTGCTGCCTTGAGTCTTTCCCTTCGCAGGTGCAGCCTTGATTTCCACCATAAACTCCTTAAGAAATTGAATCTTTTATCAGGTCAGCTTCAAGCAAGCCAAGAGCTGAGCTTTCCTCTTTATCTTTTGGAGGAGTTAATTCCCACTCTGCTGTATCTCACTTTGCAGGCAACATTCCTGCAGCTGAGATTAGAAAGTTCTTCTTTTTTTTTTTCCATTTCCCAGCCTTGAAAATTCCTTGCTGTCCATCCAGATTCTCTTTTCTCCATCTTCTCTTTATAATCTTTTCTATTAAGCCACAGTCAGTCCTGATCCTGCTCAGCTGTAGCACAGCCTTGCACCCACTTCTAGCTGAGTGTTGCTCAGAGGTGACTCCATGGATGGAAAGGACCTTCAGCCTTTTCTTACAGCCTAGAAAGGGTCTTTTTGTTTCCTTCTTTAGCCAACATTTAAGCCATTTACTGTCTTTTTAAGAGCATTGTTCAGAGGAAAGCTGCTTTACTTTGTTGGGCATGGAGTTATCTGACCTCCACACATGGCATGTACATATTTTCCATGCTCTCCTCACCCCTTGTCCCTGCACAGGACGTTCCCTAGCTGCTTCTGTGTTGCTGTGCTGTCCATGGCAGTGTCTGGGCTATCTCAGAGTTCCATGCTGGCAGTGGGATTTGGAGATTTCCAGCCCAGCCTCCTGGAGGACACAGTGTGATGTGCTGCGTGGTGCTGGCAGCAGCACTAATCACCGGGTTATCCCGCCAGACACATTGTCCCCATCTTTATGTGCTCAGGCGTTTTTAATGGCTCTCCTTTTGCTCAGGCAGAAAAAGACCATTAGCAAAGTGACAGAAATTAATTTTTCCAATGAGTATGCTTGGCACGCTGTTAAGGGCCAAGAAGCCTGAATCTGCTGATTGCAGATGACTTAATTGCCTCTTTCCAAGATAGATGAGACATGCGACCTGTGGTGAAGTTCCTTCTTGGTCTTTCATTTCTCAGTTGCACCAGAGGGTCTTGGTCACTCACTGGGGTGTGACCTGGCCTGTCAAAGCCCATGGCTTGGGCAGGTGAGGTGGAGCATTGGAGCAAAGCCATGCCTGCCTATGGATCACTAACACAGGGTTGGAGAAGCAGCAGAACCTTTCACTGTGTAGGACCTAGTGCAGAATGTAAGAGTAGCCTTAGATGAGAACTTTGTTCCCAGGAATGTTACCATCCTGCTGTCCCCAGACCAGCAATCCCACTGGTCTTGGTAACACTGCCTTGCCTGTTCCAGCGCTGTGCTCTCACCTGGAAGCTGAGGTGCCAGCCTGGCTGTGTGCTGTGTGCTGGGGCAGATGCTGGTGGTGTGCAGGATCAGATAACTGCCAGCTGCCCTGTGGTGATGCCGTTGGCAGAGGGTCAGGAGGGGTGAGCCCAAAATCGCAGAGCGCGGTTCCGGGGCTGTATGTAACGGCAGCCCTGGCCCATGGCATCCCCTGTGCACCAGCGTCCTCTGCTCCCCCCGGGGCAGCCTCTCCCGAGGGTCCACACAGCCCCTGGGCTGTCTCACAGCCCCTCTTTCTCCTGAGGTATAAATAGAGCCCGTTGCTCTCCTCAGACTTTCATCTGAAAGAATAAGAGGAAGTGAAATAGAGAAGGGGGAAAGCGCCTCAGCTGTGGCCGCCGGAGAGCACGGAGCTGCACAGCCCTTGCTGTTTGAGAGGAGCTTCTCTTGGCAGCTTCACCCTATTTATAACCCTTTTATAGTGAAATAAAGGCCTTTATGAGTAATTACCAGAAAGGCCTTGCCTTTCACACAGCTCTGGTGTACTCTGTGGAGCTGTACCTGTGGGTACATTCTGATGTCCTTGTTGCTTTGCTGCTTTGGGAGTGTGAACAGGAGTTTTTCAGGTTGCTTTACTCCATAAAAAAAGGCATGAGCTTGCATTGCCCGTGTACCTCCATCCTCTCAGTGCTGGCCTTCACCTTCATCTCATCATCTGTCTGTGAGGGCTGTCACCCCTTGGTGAGCAGGAACCACCTTTGATGGTCTCTGTAGCCTTATCTTTCCTTGTATCTTAACTGACTCTGGTTAAGTTTCCCTCCTGTGCTCACCACGAAGGTCCAGGTGTGTGGAGCCTTTCCAGCCTCTGACCCTGGTATGCCCCAGAGTGGTTTAACTGTTCAAGTACCTCCTGTCTTCTCTGAAAAACCCCTCACTGGGTTCATCAGGATTTGATATGATCCTTGTGAAGCTGCAGCAGAAATTTTGGCATCTTTTCTTGCAAGTTTCTGCTCCTCCCACAGGCAAAGGGCAGGTCTGCCAGGTGATTTCAGGGCTTCTCTGAACACCATCACTTGAAATGGTTTTTATACCTTATGGCCCCCTTGTCAGCACTTAAATCCGTGAGGGATTCAGGGCTGTGTTTTTAAGGATAAACCCAGTGGATCAGCTCTGACTCTACTTCCAGTGATGTGTTTTTCACTTTGAAATTCTGGGTTTATATCGAGCTGGGGCCCCAGTGCACAGCTGCTCATCAAACAGGGCTCGACATTGCACAACCACGGCATGGAGATGTCAACAATTTATCCTAATCCCTTGCCGAGTTCCCAGACTTCCAGCCCTTCAGTCTGTTCCAACATGCTCACCAGTTACAGGAGGCAAAGTTGCAGATGGGAGCAGGTTGGAAAAAACAACTGTGTTTGCGAAACTCCCTGTAAATCCCCAGGGAAGTGTGGCAGGCTCAGGGCAGGGTCTGTCAGCCCTCCTTGGGTGAGGTGGAACCACCTGAGCTGCCCCTCAGCAGCAGCCTCCTGGCTGGAAGATGGATCCACTCGGGCAGCAGAGCACAGGGATGTGCCCATGTGCCGCTCAGCTTGGCTTCTGTCTCTCCTTTGCAGTGCCCAACGGAATAAACCATTCCCCCCCGACACTGAACGGGGCCCCATCCCCACCCCAGAGGTTCAGCAACGGTCCTTCCTCATCCTCCTCCTCCTCACTGACCAACCAGCAGCTCCCAGCCACGTGTGGAGCCCGGCAGCTCAGCAAGCTGAAGCGTTTCCTCACCACCCTGCAGCAGTTTGGCAATGACATTTCACCCGAGATTGGGGAGAAGGTGCGGACCCTCGTTCTGGCACTCGTGGTAAGTGCTGCACCATGCCAGGCTGCCTGGCTTTTCCCAGATCCTGGCACACAGTGCTGTCTGTTTGCATCTTTACTGAGCAAGACTCCTACGTTTGTGCTTCTTGAGAAACTCAGTGATTTCTTTTTCTTGCCTTTGTTATGTTTCAAGAAGCTGTTGGTCCAGTGGCTTAGGCACGAGCTTGTGTGCAGCTAAACTGAAGGAATGGAATTGGACAAAACTTTTCTGTAAATCATGGAATCACAGAATGGTTTGATTGGGGACTTTAAAGATCATCTCATTCCTTACCCCTGCAGTGAGAACACCCTTCATACCCAAATGTATCCAGTGTTTGCATTTATACAGAATAACTGGGAGAAATGCTGTCCAGTGCATTAGACATTATATTCCACATGCTTTACAAAGGCATGGAGTGACAGGACAAGGATGAATGGCTTTAAACTGAAAAAGAGGAGGTTTGGATTGCATATTAGGAAGAAATTCTTCCCTGTGAGGGTGGGCAGGCCCTGGCACAGGGTGCCCAGAGCAGCTGTGGCTGCTCCTGGATCCCTGGCAGTGCCCAAGGCCGGGCTGGACAGGGCTTGGAGCAGCCTGGGACAGTGGAAGGTGTCCCTGCCCATGGCAGGGGTGGAATGAGATGGTCTTTAAGGTTGTTTCCAACCCAAACCATTGTGTGACCTTGGACTGAGGCCCTGGAGCCCTGGGCAGCTGTGGTCCTCTGGGGCACCCAGTGGGGCTCCTGCACTGACCTCTGCTTTTTGGCACATTTTCTTTTGAGGCTCAGCAGGCACTGAAGGGACCTAGACTGCAGCAGCCTGGAGCATTTCTGCTTCCAAGGCTGGCAGCAAACCTGAGTCTGTCCATGTCCTCAGGGTCACTCCCAGGGCTTAAGCACTGGATGTAAAATGCTGCTGCTGCTGCATTTAGATAGCATATTTAATTCCATGGGTGTAGGGTAGTACCTTAGCCTACCCTTTTGGGGAGGGAAAGAGAAGCTGTCCCTTTGGCTGTTGTTCTCACCCCACACTGTGCTTACTGCTGCAGAGGTCAGTGTTGTATATGCAGATTATCAAATGCTGCTGTCCCAGGCATTCCCCAGCCTGAGCAGCGCCAGAAGAGGCAGGGCTGGACCAGGAGAGGACCACAGTGAACACAAGGCTGATGAGACTCCATGGATAGGTTAGATGAGGAGAACTGAAAGGGAGGAAGGTGTGCAGTTCTGAGCAGCTGGGATCGAGGTCTGACTCTCCACAGCCTGCCCCAGCATGCAGTAGATGCCAGCTGGGTCCTGCTGCCCTGGAGTCAGCCTCTGCCTCCCATCCTGGAGCTGGGAGGGTGCTGAGCCAGGCAGTTCCCACCCCTGTCCTAGTGCAGCATTCCTGCTCCGCTGGCCTGAGCCTTGCTGGCTGCATCCAGCAGGATCCAATACAAACACTGTCAGTCCTGGAGCAGCAGATGCTGTCTCCCTCCCAGTTCTGTTCATTTGGAGCCATTCCCCACACGTCTAAAAATAAGAAAAAATTGTCATTTCATTTCTTAATTTCTTTTCTCAGAACTCAACGGTGACAATCGAGGAATTTCACTGCAAGCTGCAAGAGGCGACCAACTTCCCCCTCCGGCCGTTTGTGATCCCCTTCCTGAAGGTGACAGGGAGCTGCTGGGGCTTGCTGACACTCCATGTGCCTGCCTGTGCCTCTTGGCAGTGTGACATTGCTGGGAAAGCTCTCCTTGCAAGCACCACAGCAATTCTGCTGGAGTTCAAGACAGACTGCACAGAGCGTAGCGCTGGCCGTGTGGGACTGGCTGACGTTGTGCCGTGTGCCACATATGTCTGCTTGTGTGCTGGAGATAAAGGAGGCAAACCAAGCTCCATGTGGCAGCTTCTGAGCCTATAATCTTATTTGCAAATGTTCATATCTAGAATGTTTGAAGTGCTGGCACATGGAGTCTGCCTGGGATGGTAAAATCACAGAATTGCAGAATAGTTTGGGATGGAAGGGACCTTCAAGTCCGTCTCACGACAGCCCCCTGCCATGGGCAGGGACACCTTCCACTAGACTAGGTTGCTCCTGGCCCTGTCCAACCTGGCCTTGAGCACTTCCAGGGATGGGGATTCCACAACTGTAGCCCTTGGGTTTTGGGTCCACCAACATCAAGCTCCTGGGAAAATACAAGTAAATCTGACAGTGCAGACACCAGGAGCTGGAGGATCCTGGCTGGGGGTCATGAGGTGTTACTGCTCTGAGGTATTAATGAAGACCAAACCTTTTGAAACAGCTGGAAACCCCTGTCCTGCTGTAATCCAGCCCTGTGCTTGTTTTCCAGGCCAACCTCCCTCTGCTGCAGCGGGAGCTGCTGCACTGTGCCCGTGCTGCCAAGCAAACGCCCTCCCAGTACCTGGCACAGCACGAGCACATCCTGCTCAACACCAACACCACATCTCCTGCTGACTCCTCCGAGCTGCTCATCGAGGTCAACGGCAATGGCAAGAGGCACAGTCCAGACAGGTGAAAAACAGCTTTTGTCACTCTGCTCAGTTGTTGAAGTCATGACTTCTGGTTTATCTTTGCTGCTGACAAAGCTTTAAGCAGCATCCAGGATCTTATTGCTCCCAACAACTGTTCTGGCTGTTCTGAGACTGCAGTGACTGTTCCTGCTGCACTGTGAATTCAGGTTGTGTTCCTCTTTCAGGCAGGTTCTGTCCTAGAGGGACTTTTGGTTAGCTCTGCAAAGCCTGAGCCAGAGAGCTGAGCAGTTTCCCACCCCCAAGGCAAAGAACAGAGGCATTGGCAGGGCTGGGAAGGATGCGCTTCATTTTCACCACGTTTTATTCCAAGATAAAAGTTGTTATGCAATTATGTGGAGCATGCCTCAAATTTATAAAAACTGTGAAATTTTAATTTGGTCATGCTCAGAGAGATGAATCACAACACTCATGCATCCTGAACCCTTTTCTTTGATGGGGTCACTTTGTGCATCACCTCACAAACTGAGCACATTTATTTGAGCTCTCTGCATTTACCCTGTGGTAAAATCATTGCTGCCCAAACCCTGCTGATTCTGAATCTGCATCTTTCTGAGTACATTTATGGGATGCTAAGGAATGCCTGTCTGTGCTGGTGTGATTGCAGGAGGGAAGACAGCAGCTTTGAGAGGGAGCCACTGCCAACAGAGCCTCCGGCCAAGAGGGTTTGCACCATCAGCCCCGCGCCCCGGCACAGCCCTGCCCTCACCATCCCCCTGATGAACCCCAGTGGGCAGTTCCACCCCACCCCACCACCCCTCCAGCACTACACCTTGGAAGATATTGCCACCTCCCACCTCTACAGGGACCCCAGCAAGATGCTGGAGCACAGAGAGATCCGGGACAGGCACGGCGGGCTTGGTGAGAGCCTGGAGGGCTCCTTGTTGAGCTTTGGTGTTGGTCTCTGCTTGGCCACTCGTACCCAAAGATGTGTGATGCTGGGCATGTCCTCACAGCTGAGTCTGTGCAGGGAGTCGAGAGGGAACAGCTCCCCATGGGAAGTTAAAAACAGGAAGATTGAGGGTTTGTTATTTCCCTGTATGAAGGCTGGAGTCACTGAGGGTGAGGAGGAAGGACTTGGTGTGTGAGTTGAGTGTAGCCAATGCAGTGGGCAGGGAAATAGAAATTAACTTTTCCAAGATCTCCGAAGCAGAGATTGACCCCCTGCCCTGTTTCTTCAAGGGATGTGTGGGAGGTGCATGATGTGTTTCCAGCACAACAGCCTGAATCACAGGCTCTGAGCTGCTGTGAGTTCATAACAGGAGAACCAGCTCCACAAGCAGGTCAGAGCTGGAGCCACAAGTGGATTGTAGCACTTCTCAGACAGTGAAGCAGACAGGGATAAAAAAGCACCAGCGTGGAATTACCCCTGTAGAGCTGCCACCTGGAGACATGTTTTAAAATCCCAGCCAGGTGGAGCTGGAAATAGAGCTCTTTATTCTTGCTTTGGGGCCACTTCTCTTTGCACTGGCCCATCTAATCCCTCTGTGGCTTGTTGCAGGATTGAATGGAGGCTACCAGGACGAGCTGGTGGATCACCGCCTGACAGAGCGGGAGTGGGCGGATGAGTGGAAGCATCTCGATCATGTAAGGAATGGCAGAGGCTGTGGGAAGCTCTGTGGGAAGCAACAACCCAGTGTTGCACCTGCTCCACCTGGTGATTTCCTTTCTGATACCATATCCAGGCTCTCCTGGTGGCTGGAACAAGCCACCACAGGCAGGTGGATGGTGGGGAGGGCTGAGAGGAGCTGGAGCACTTTCCTGGCAGGTTTCCTCTGCCCATGGTCAGTGGAAACTAAAATCAGTGTGGATGAAGTGTCTGGAGCTGCAGGGCACGGCCAGGTGCTGCCATGGCTGGCTGAGCAACCAAACTCAGCCTTATCCCCACTGGGATCTTTTCTGCCCCAGCCCTGGCCAGCACAAGTGCACAGATGTGCTAAGTGCAGTCAGGATATGGACTTACAAAATTAGTAAACCTGTCATTATGGTATTTTAAGACTTTTTCTCCCTGAGGTGCCAGCTTTTTGTGGACCAAAAAAGGCACCAACAGCAAGACCTGGCGCTTCTGGCAGGTTTTATGCTGAGCTTTTTCCTTTTGAGCAAGGCAGCTCCTCCAGGCACTTCACTGCTGTTTCCCTCGGAGAGATGGGATTAAAATTCAGCTTTGATCATAAATGCAGAGGGACCTCATGGTCTAAAGCTAATGGGTTTTTTGAAGGGGATGGGGTTGGGGTGGATCAGAGGCCCCATAGCTGAATATTTGGAGTGAGACTGTGACTGTGGAACGCTGACACCAGGATCCTAACCGTAGAAAAGTGGTGGCATTTTCCTGTCCGCTTCTAGGAGCGCTGTCAGGAGGTGTTGAACTACCTGGTGCCGCATCCTTGAGCACGGCCCCTTCCCAAATCCCGGGAAAGCAGAGCTGACCGCGCACCCTTCCCCCCCGCAGGCCCTGAACTGCATCATGGAGATGGTGGAGAAGACGCGGCGCTCCATGGCCGTGCTGCGGCGCTGCCAGGAGGCCGACAGGGACGAGCTCAACTACTGGAAGCGGCGCTGCTCCGAGACGGCCGAGCCGCGCAAGGCGGGCACCGAGCTGCTGAGCCGCCAGCACAGCCCCGCCAGCGCCGACTCCCTGGGCAGCGGTGAGAGCACAGAGCCCCCCGGGCACGCAGGGCAGTGCCAGCCCTGCCATGAGTTTGGTTAAACTCTGCTCTAGTGGTTTTGTCGAGGAGAAAAGAGAGGCAAAACAGGAAGCGGCTCTTTGACAACGTCCGAAAGCGGCTTTGCTCGCTCCTCCTTACTGCTGGCAGAAGTTGGTCCAAAGCTGATAAACCCCAGGGTGAAAAGGGGGAGAGGTGTTAGTCCCCACCACACTCCCCCCTTCCAGTCCCTCCTGCCTGAAGGATTTTAAATGTCAAGGTCTATTTATTCTAAAAATAACGAAGGCTTTTGTAAGTGATAATAGCTACCTGTGTTACTAATTCTATTTTTGTATCGTGAGTCAACTTTATCAAAGCTGACTAGTTTCAACCTCCAGCATGCAGGGCTTTGACCCTATTGAAAAAAAACAAGTCTAAAATGCTGCTTTATTTCAATGTAATTCTGATTTCCATCCAAACAAACTCACTGCAAATCAAGTTCTGGGGAAAAAACCCTCTGATTATTCAGTAATAAAAAATTGATTTCTTCTGGCAAGAAGAAATGTCAATTTGATGTATATTCTACTTGTTTGTACACAAAATACAGAGTGAATCCTCTTGCAAGGAATCCAAGTGCCCCTGGCTCCAGTTGTCACAAAGCCTGAGGAGCAGTGGGTGTGTGTGACAGCCCGGGGGGCACAGCAGCTTTTTACTTCTAGATTTAAGTATATCGTGACTAATACACTTCCAGCCAGGTGATATAATTTAAATTTTTATGTAAATTTGGAACGCTGTTGCTTTCTCCCCTTGTGAGGCCTAGGGATAATTTTCAAGCTCCATTGCTCTTGTGAGAAGGTGCAGTTAAGCATCAAGCAGCATCTCCAGGGATCTTGGAGGAAGTTTGTCCATCAGTTCACACCTTTGAATTGCCCTGGGATTGGGAAGTGCCATGCTTAATGTAAACTGCTGGTCTACAGATTGATGCTTGTAGCCTCTGGACAGTGCAGAAGTTGGATAACATACATTTATAAGCATTTCCTGTTGTTTTAGAGTACCAGGAGATAGGTTATACAGTGTCATAAATTATGCAAGGTGCTAATTAAATGCTGTAATTTATCATCTGAATGTTTGAGGAATGGCTTTAACCGTAGGAATCCTCTGCTTTGAGTTTGAGCTGGTCAGTCCTTCCTTGCCCTGTGGTGTCCTGAGGTACCACTGGGCACATGAGCAGCAGCTGGGTGGGATGAGGCTTTGCCAACCTTTCCCTGTGTCCCTTACTCCACAGATTCCCTGCGGGAGTTCAGCAGCAGGTCGGGACCGGGCTACGTCACGGAGGAGATTTGGAAAAAAGCCGGTGAGTGTTTGTGGGGATCCTGCCCGGGCTAAACACAGATGCTGCAGATCTGCTGTGTAGAAACAGCTGCAGGAACGCCCCAGGGTGTCCACATGTGGCTGCCAACATCCCCACCCTGGCTTTTCCAAAGGGCTCTGCTCCTCTGTGATGCCACGGGCATCCTGTGGGGCTGAGCCCGGCCTGGCCGCTCCCGGGAGCGGTCGGGATGCTGGTGCTGGGAACGCGCTCCTGGAGCCGTGTTCCTGTGGGGGGCTCCCCTCGCTGCCAGGTCGGGTGGGTGAGGCTGCTCTTTCCTTCCAGAAGAAGCTGTGAACGAGGTGAAGCGGCAGGCCATGTCGGAGGTGCAGAAGGCGGTGGCCGAGGCGGAGCAGAAGGCGTTCGAGATGATCGCGTCGGAGCGCGCGCGCATGGAGCAGACCATCGCCGACGCCAAGCGCCAGGCCACCGAGGATGCCTTCCTCGTCATCAACGAGCAGGAGGAGTCCACCGAGGTGAGGTGCCAGGGCACAGCCTGGGAAGGGCTTTCCAAGGCTGCAGAGTCTCCAGGTCAAGCCTGCAGGTCCCCCACTCTTTCCACAGAGTCATAATTCCCACAATGGGTTGGGTTGGAAGATCAAAGATCATCTCAGTCCCTATCGGCTTCCACTACACAGGGTGCTCCAAACTCCATCCAGTCTTCAACACCTTTTCTTTTTAGAAGTCACTCTCCAATCAATAATTAAAGCAAGGCACCAATGTCATCAAAATTCTTTTTAGGTTTTGCTAGCAAGGAATCAGCGTGAGCAATGTCTGTGGACACGTGTGTGTGCAATGACTGGGCACCCTGAACTGGACTCAGTGTAATGACCAGGGATTTTGTGGGATTGAAAGAGGTGTAGAAGCAAAGAGAAAAAGATTCTGGTGTATGCAGCAGTTTAGCTCAGAAATTATGGTGGGGTACTTGATCTTTGCAGAAAAGAAATTGCTGTTTGTGGGCTTGAAAATAGGCCAGGGCAGAAGCTGGACTGCACATTGCTGGTGATCTGTACCATATTTGCATGTTGGAAAAGAATGGATGGCTCTTGGTTTGTCATAGCCAGTGACATGTGCTGAATGGGTGCCTCAGAGAATCTCTTCCTACTTTTCTATCATCAATTACCCTCCTTATTCCTTGACAGGAAGTTCACTTGGTAGAGCTTTTGAGATTTTGGGGAATGAGAATTACATGGGTCATTCCTGCACTACCACAGCCCATCCATGTGGGCTTTGCTCCATATTTTAATTTCTCTACACGTACAAGAGCAGAGGATTTATGTCTGCTGAGCAGAAATCTGATGGGACTATGCTGTTCATGTCTGCTGGGTTGTGGGGGCAGCAGCTCCATCCTCTCCTCCTAGTGGGTTTCAGCTCAACTGGGACTTAGGAATAATTCCATGGCCAGAACCATGGAATCATTAGGTGTCATTCCAGAGAATTATGTCCATACTGCAATTCCCAATGAAATTTCTGAGGGTTGAATGCATCAGTCACATGGTGGGAGTGGGTGGAACTGCTCAGGAAGCCGTGGAAGGAATGAGGCAAATAGTGATTTCTCCATAGGGGAATAGCAGAGGAGTGTCTTCCTCCTCCAGATGTGCTGTGGAGCAGTCTGGGACCTTGGGAGCTGCTGAGCACCCCTGTGCAAGCCCTAGGGCCCTTGTCTAAAAGCTGTCCTGTGTTCTGACACATCTTGTAACCTTTACAACACAGCTGAAAAGCACTTGAAGTGTAAACAGCTGCGAAGCAGTGACCCAGTTTTCCAAGAACTACCACAGCTTTTGGAAGGGGCTTTTTGGTCACAAGTCCTTCTTCTCCTGGAAGGTGGAGGACCCTTGGGGACACACAGGGTCTGGAGCAGCTTAGTCCAAAGTGAACCAGCCAGGTGCTTCACTGCCAGCCTATAAATCATCAGTGTGAGCTGGTGGCTCCGGTGCTGAGCCTGGGAGTGGGAATCTCCCAGCCCTTACAGCCCAGCCTCTCCCACCACCCCTCACCCATAGCTCTTTGACTGTGGTCACAGCAGTGGTGTCCCCACGAAGGCCAGCTCTGCCAGAGGCTGTGTTCCCACAGCTGAGCCTGCCCTCCCCAGGATGTGTTTGCTACGCCCGGGTCCAGCTGCAGGGAAGCTGCTCCGCCGTTCCTGCCCTCCCCGGAGCAGCTGTGGCCACCGCTCCAGCCTGGCCGCTTGCCCCGCGCTCCGAGGGAAGCAGGGGCACGCCGGGAGCCACCAGCTGACACCTCTCCCCTCGGCCAGAGGGGCTTTGCTCTGCTTCCACATTGAACCTCGGGGCTCTGGCAGTGCTTCCGCCTGCCTGGGAGGCTTTCAAATGAGCATTTGCTTTTCCAAATTGGCCTGCTCCAACCTCTTGTGCAGCGAGGCAGGGTGCGGAGCAAATGGTGCCTGTGCAGCGCCGCCGTGATCCCTGCGGAGAGCGCTTGGCTGGGAGCGAGACCAAAATAGAGCTGCTTAAAACAGGAAATGAAAAGGCCCAATAGCAGCATCTGCAGCGTGTTTTTCAGTCCATGCCTGCTGCACTCGGGTGGGTCTAGGGGAAAGGATGTGCCTGGAGCAGTGTGACAGCGGCTGTGGGCAAAGAGCGGTGGGGGTTAGAACCATTGACAAAGAGCTGGGAAATAGCGGGAATTAATGGATTGCTCATTTTAATATTCCCAAATGTGGGCCAGAGGGGATGAACAGTCCCCTCCAGAGCTGAGTCAGCACCATGCTGTAGCTCTTAGGGAAACTCAACCCCTTTCAAGCACCGTGTCTTTGGTCTTGCAGAGCTGCTGGAACTGCGGCCGCAAGGCCAGCGAGACGTGCAGCGGCTGCAACATCGCCCGCTACTGCGGCTCCTTCTGCCAGCACAAGGACTGGGAGAGGCACCACCGCATCTGCGGGCAAGGCCTGCACGGCCAGAGCAAGCCCCTGGCCCTGCCCGCGGGCCGGGTGGCAGCAGCAGCCAAGAGCCTCGATGGCATCCCCAGCCCAGCCCTGGAGAAGAGCTCGGCCACCACCTCGCGCTCGTCCACGCCGGCGTCTGTGACAGCCATAGACACGAACGGACTCTAGGAGGGAGGGTTTGCTGCGCTCCACTGGATGAGTTCCCTGGGGTTTTTAAGCTGAAAAAACCCCCCACAGCAACTGTTACCACTTGACATGTTTGACACATCCCCTCGGAGCGCTGACACTCCGGCTCTGCCCTCTCATCCTGCCTTTGCCTTCGTGGCTCGTGAACGGGGCTGAGCCTCGCCTGCAGCATCTCTCTGCTCCTCTCAGGGGGACACCAGAGCAGCGTCAGGACCTGGGGGACACTGGGCACCCTCTTGGGGAACCTGGACTGGGAGGAGTGCACTGGCACATACTGGAGATACTGAGAGCGTGGTGCCCAAGCAGGGAGCCCTGTCCTTGTGGCATGCTCAGGCTCGCTTCCCAAGGCCTCAGAGCCACCACTGCCTCCTTCTGCCACCTTTCCTCCACGATACCCAATGTTTTTTCCTGCTCCCAGACAGCTGTGCCTCAGGTGGCCCTGTGGACTGGTGTTGCTGTGAACAGACCAGAGCCAATTTCTCAGCAGGAGCATCTCGTCCTCTGTGCAATGGCAAAAGCTGAGCCCACTTCTCCTGCCTCCAGGCTGGCAGCTGAGGGTTGCAGAGGGGGAGGAAAGGATTTGTCTGCTCTAAAACTAGTGGCAGTGGCAGGGAGGTACTGCTGGATGGCTGGATTTCATCCCGGTCTGTGGTGAGACAGACAGTTGGGTGTTTCCTGGGTGGGGCCAGTGCTGGGGGAACACGTGCAGAGCAGATCTGGGCTGGGTGCAGGTGCCCTTTCCAGCTGGGGCCGTTGTTTTGTTTTTTCACTGCCTGGAAGCTGCTGGTTTGGGAGTTCTTGCTGTTGTTTTTGAGCCCAGGGATCCTCACTGGTGCGAGGGGTTGTTTACAGCCCATACTCTGCACACACATCAGCCACAGCAGTAAAAGAAAGGCAGGACTGCGTGTCCTGTGGCAATTCTTATCCCAGCTCCAGGGGGTTTCTGCAGTGCTGCATCCAGGGATGTGCATCCACCTTCAGAGGTTGTCCCAAAAACAGGGCTCAGAGTGAGGTCCCGTGGGGATGGGGCCAGCCTGGGGAGGTCTGTCCCTCTCGGAGTTCCTGCTGTGCTGTGCAAGGAGGGATTGGAGGCACTCAGTGACTCTGTGACAGCACAGCCCTGCAGCAGGGCTGTCCCGGGGTGTCACACGGGCTGGCAGTGGCACTGCCCATGGCAGGGAGGACAATGTGCCCTCCAGGAGCTGCTCCCAGCTCCCACAGGCACACACAGAGGCTCTGGAAATCCATCCCTTCAGCAGAGCCCTGCTTCCCTGACTGTGTGTGCCCCTGCTGGGCTGGAGCCCAGTGAGGTGAGTAATGCCCAGGGTTTTTTGGATCACTTTTTCAATTGGAGGTGAATAATGGAGCTGTATTGAGTCGTCACTCAGAGTGAGCAGGGGACCTGCTGCTCCAGCCCTGGCCCCTCGGGAAAGCTCCTTGGGAAGCTGCTGTTGTGAGGTAGAGCTGCTGATTTCCTGTCTGCAAGGTTTCATTAAAAAGCCACCAGGTCTCTGGTGCTGAAGACAGCTCCAGTGGCCCTGGGAATGTCTCCCCTGTGTCCCCAGGAGTCGGTGCTGGAGCCCAGCACAGCACTGGCATTGAGGCAGCTCCCAGTGGAGCCACCCTGACCTGCAGCAGCCCATCCCTGGGGTGTTCACTCCGGGACAGTCAGGAAGGGATTTCCTGCCCTAAGGGGACAGGGACACATTTGGAACGGCCTCAGTCCCCTCCTCACCTGCAGCCCCAGCCCCGTGCTGTGGGTCCGTGGTGGCAGTGCCAGGGTGGGCTGGGAAGGGAGAGCAGGGCAGGGCAGGGCTGGAAGGAATTGCTTGTAAATAGATTGTCTTCCATAATTCTCATGCAACACTGATGGCTGTGTATTAAAATTAACCCCAGTGTAAATGAATGAAATACTAACAGTCATGATTAGAATGATTGCTTCTTTCTTTTTTGTTGGTTTCTTTTTTTTAAAAAGATGGAATGATAAATGTGAACTTGGGGCATGGGAAGATATTGGGTTGAGGTTTCTATTTTTTTTTGACATTTAATTCTGTAATAGAAATTTGTTACTTCATTCCTGTGCATAACTTATTTAATGTCCTGTATAAAGGAACCCAAACTGTTACAGATGTATTTAGTTTGTTCTACTCAAAAGTAGTCAATAAAAAGACTATATTCATCCTCCAGCTCCCCCTTCTCTCTGGGAAGGGGCAGAGGTTTTCAGCAGTGCTCAGGCAGCTTTTGGGTTTTTGGAGAAACTTTTAGGGACAAAAATTTGCCTCCTCTCTGGTGGTGATGCTGTGGGCAAAGCCTGGGAGCAAGTGCAGGCAGAGCTGGAGTTCAGCCCTATCCTCGGTGATTTCTTTGAGTTTATAGTTCAATGTGTAGTTTTCTGAGCATTTTTAAAATGATCTTTTTTTTCTGTGAGCACAGAGCAGCCTGCAGGGTCACAGCTGTCACAGCTGGCTGCCACTGCCAGCCCTGTGCCCCCCAGTGATGTCCCCTGCCCACACCTCGGCTTAATCTGAGGATTTTGGCCTCCAGGCTGCTGCAAACATTAATCCAGGGGTGAAGAAACCCAAAACAGAGGGGTAAACCCCACAGGGGGCTGGGGGGGCAGCTCAGGAATCCCAAACCCGTGCCTGCTGCAGCTCTGCCTCTGTGGCTGCCCCAGTGCCCCTCTCTCACCCACCCTGGCTGTGCCCTGGCACAGCTGGTCCCTTCCTGATGGCCCATGGTGCTGCCATCGTGGCAGCTACACCTGCATCTGGTACACCTTGCCAGGAGCACTTCATGAGATTTTTTTTTTCCCCTATGAAACACTTCCCAATCTGTATCAGGCGACCTGGCTCCCCGGGCAGGATGTCACAGCTGGCCAGTGCCACCCTGCCCCTCCCAGCACCCTGGGCAGCCTGGGAGCCAGGAGGAAGAGGAGCAAGAGGAAGAGTGCAAGAGGGACCGAGGGCTCCTGGGCAGCACCAGCCTCCCCCAAGGGCCAGGCTGCCACCTCCACACACCCCAGGCAGTTCAGACAGTCTTAGGAGCAGGATCAATAAATAAATTAACATGAAAAGACCAAAGGAGCAAAACATTGGCAGGGCCGAGGGCAGGCAGCCCCCGCTGGCCACAGGAGGGGATGGAGGGACAGGGAGGTGACAAAGGTGATGCTGTGCCCAGGGCTCCACGTCCTCCCGCATGCTGATGGTGTCCTGGAGACACTGCCTCGTGTCAGTTGTTGTTCATGATCCACCAGGAAGCTGGGAAGAGAGGGAAAGCAGGGAGGTGAGGGCAGTGTCAAACTGGGAATGGGGATTTGGGGTGGCAGAGATGGGGGGGCCTGACCCTGCAAGTCCCTGCCTCTAAAGCACCCACCCACACTGGGCAGGGAGCGTGGCCATGGCATGACCTGGAGAGGGGTGACCCCTGGAACTGTGGCAGCTTCTGCAGGACAGCACTGGGAATGTGCTCAGTGGGACTGGGAATTCGGGAGCAGCACTGGCAGTGCAGGGTTCAGTCCAAATTAGTCCGTGTTTTATTGATTAATATTTGACAAGACCCTGATCATGTTACAGTGATCCCTGAAAGCAAACTGGGGCTTAATTTGGTTCCCAGTTCCCACACCTGGTCCCATTTCTGCGTGCACGTTCCCTGTGTTGGGCTCCCTCCTGCCCCAGCACTGGGTGTAACCCTGGATGCAGCCCCTGGGACTGGCCCAGGAGAACCAGTGCTCAGGTGCAAAACAAAACGAGGCACCAGGTGTATTTGGGACAGGACTCAGCTGATCTGCTATCCCTGCTCCTGGCTGTCCCCACTGGAGAGCACCCGTGGGCAGGGGACAGACCCCAGCTCACACAGCCAAACCTGCTGAGGACAACGGGGTTCACCCTGGCTTGGAAAATCTCCTTTAGGTCACCCCAAACCAATCTTCTCCTCTGAAGGGAGCCACAGTGGCTGTTCCTGCCCTGCTCCTGCCTCTGCAGCACAGCCAGGGCAGGATGAGGCACCCCTCACCTGGGAAGAGCATGGTGGTCAGCAGCTCCGGGGACTCCAGCAAGCTGAGGATGGACTGCTGGAAAGTCTTGCTGCAGCTGGACTGCAAGTGGCTGTAAAACAGGGTGTAGGGTCAGGGACATGTGGTGCTGGGACCCTCTGCCCACACACAGGGACAGGGCAGCTTCTGCAGCCCCAGCACCAGCCCCTGCTCCTGCCCTGCTCCCCAAACCCTTGATCAGGGTGTGCACAAATGGCCCCGGGGCACACAGGGCACAGCAGAGGGACAGGCTGGGCAAGCAAAGGGAGCAGTGGGCAACCCCTTTGAGCCCCCCAGCCCCACACACGGACACTGGCCCACCTTCTCCACGAGGTCACGTCCTGCCAGAACTCGTACAGGATGAAGCACGCCTCGTCTGTCAGCTTGCAGGCAGAGACACTGTGGGGACAGAGGGACCCTGAGTGACCCGGGGCTGGGCAGGCTGGCATGGCCCTGGCATGGCCCGGGCATGGCCCTGGCATGGTGTGGCACGTGTGCCCCAGAAGCCTGGGACAGCAGGGCACTGCTGTGCACATCAGCCTCACCATGAGGCTCCCAAAGCACAGTCTGGGGACATTCACAGTTTGTGAACAGCTCCAGAGGATCCCAAACCCAAGTCCTGCTTCACACTCCTGTGTCCAGGTGGCAGAGGAGTTTTACAGCACTTCCACTGGTCCTGCTGCCCAGGAGCCAGCACATTCTGTGTTGGATCATTTCTTACTCCTCCCTAGCACTGCCACAGCTCATCCTGCCAGCCCCTTGGAGTAGGTGTGTGTCACTTGTCACCCTTCACACGGAGGGAAACTGAGGCACGGGGGCAGGAGCTGAGCTCACAGCACCAACCCCCAGCTCCCTGTCCCCAGAGTGATGCTTCCCACATTCCCTCCTGCCCAGGAGAAGCTCGGGCTGCCCCCAGCCCGTGGGCAGGGGGGTGGGAGGCAGCGGGGGCAGCAGTGCAGTGCTCGGGGTGCAGGGCCAGGGGAAGCAGCTGTGCTGGGCTGCAGCAGCAGCAACTCCAGCTGAGGATGAGCCTCTCCTGCAGCTGCTGGCAAGGGGAGCAAGCCCCAGGGGGACAGCACAGCATGTCACCCAGCAGCTCTGAGCCTGCATCCCCTGCTCCCAAAGGAGCTTTGGATTCCCTGGAGTGACCCAGGCCCATGGAGTCTCCCTGGGCTCTGCTCCAGCTTTCTGCTCACGTGGAGAGCCAGCCCACGCAGCCACCCCGCTGTCTCCACAAATAGCCCTGATGACAAAAAAGCCCAATCAGTTCCAAAGAAAAAGCCTCCCATTCTCTCCACCGCACGTGTCACAGCGAGCATCTTCCTTTTGTTTGGACTGAAAATGTGAATTTGTGCTGTTGGAAGCGAAGAGCTGAAAAAGGACACTTGAAATGCAAACAGAATGAACATTCCCTGGCCTGGAGTGTCTGTGGGACAGGGGAAGGGAGCAGCTGTGCCATCAGGGCCAGGCTGGCACTGCCATGTCCCTGCAGGCAGAGCAGGGCTCTGGGGCAGCCCCAGGCTCTCGTGGCAGCTTCCCACACCCTCCCCATAAATCAGTGCCCTGCTGGAGCTCTGCCCTTCACCTTCCCATTGCTTCTGAGTCCTTCTGTGCTGGAGGAACTCGTGCATTCGCTTACAGGAACACACCACAGCCACTCCTGCTGCCATAAACCAGAGCATGAACCAGGCACTGGTTCTTACTGGGAATACCTGCAGCAGATGGGATGTTACTGCTGACAGTGCCACTCATGCTGCCTGCCAGCCCCGAGCCCACCCTTGTCCTGGGCCAGCACACAAAACACTCCACACAAACCCTTGTGCCCCTCGAGGGTGTTAAAACCCCATTTCTGGGGGTGCCACCCCAAAGCACTCCCAAAACACCCCCAAAACTCCCCCAAAGCCCCCCACTCACTGCAGGCAGCTGCTGTGCCCGGCCGTGCCCTCGGTGTAGGAGCGGAACGCCCGCCGGAACTCCTCGATGCTGCTCGTGGCCACCGAGATCTGCCTCTTGGCCACCAGGATGTGCTGCCGAGGGACAGGGGTGTCAGGGGCTGGCCTGTCCCCCCTTGCCCTCCCTGCTCCCCCCTCTGTGCGGTCCTGGGGGGCCGCAGTGGGTCTGGCACCCCCGTGCTGGGGACAAAGGGCCCCCAAAGTGGCTCCTTCCCCCAGACAGGTTGTCTTGGTAAGAACCACACCGACAGGAGAGGCTCCATCCCCAGGAGGGGGGTCCTGCTTTGGGGCTGCTGCAGTTCCCCCAGCACAAAGGGGCTTGGGGACCCCTTCAGCTGGGTCTGTGGGCACTCAGAGCACTCCTAGGGGATTTGGGCTCCTTCCTCTGTGGGCACTGCCCGGGGCTGGCAGGGACAGGAGGGGCTGCGTTTGTCACCTGGCTCACAGCCCTGAATCCCACCCGGCTCCATCAGCAGAGCTCCCCAGCCTGGGGCACGGGCAGAGTGTGAGAGGGGTCCCCTGCAAAGCACCAGGACAGGGACAGGGATGGGGCAGGGACAGGGATGGGACAGGGACAGCGACAGGGACAGGAATGGGACAGGGACAGGGATAGGGACACGGACTTACTGCATCCTGTCCCTTGCACATGGTTTCCTCCTTCAGCGGCTCCAGGCGTGGGCTCTGCATAAACACCAGGGGAAAATCAGAGTTACCAGGGGAGATCTGCAGCAGGAGGGGCACTAACCCAGGGGACAGCTCCAGGGACATTTCCTGCACATCTGTGGGGTCGGTGGGGCCTGACAGATTGGTCAGCATCCCTGCAGAGCCAGGGGAGGGTCAGCAGAGCAGGGAGGGAAGGGTGACTGCAGATGCAGGGCTGGGGTGCATGGTGCAGCTCTGTGACAATGCCAGGGCTGAAGGGGGGGGCTGCTGGCACAGGGGGAGGGGTCTCAGCCGTGCCCAGGTGTGGGGCAGCCCCAGCACCCCCCTTGGGCACACACCTTGCACTCCAGCTTCTCGATGAGCTGCTGGAGCCTGTTGATCTGAGCCATCCACTGGCTGTTGTCCTCGACACAAACACCTGCATGGCAAAGGGCACAGGGGTGTCACCCAAAAAAAAGCTCAGTTTTGTCATGGCCAAAACTTGCTCAAGACCCAAAACCCACAAAATCTTCTAAACCTCTGATTTAATCCAAATAACTCGATTTTTTTTTTCTACTGCCCAAGAGATATAACATCCCACAGAAGCTCCAGCTGGCATCTGAGACACTCCAGACTCCATCCTGGGGAAGCCCTCACTGCCCAGTGCTGCTGGAGATGTGGCACTTGGGGACACGGGTTAGTGATGGCCTTGGAGATCTTTTCCCACCTTACTGATTCTGTGATTCTGTTCTGTGATTCCCACACCCCCTCCGGGCTCCAGCAGGGCACAGACAGCCTGAGGGACAGCAGGTACCTGTTGTCAGCATCCCAGAGTAGGGGTCTGTTGGGGACAGGCACACGTTCTTCTGTCCCCTGCGCCCACACCGCCTCCCTGACCTCAGGCCAACAGAAGTCTCGGATTTCTTGATCTCCTTTCTGGAAAAAAAAAAAAAAAAAAAAAAAAAAAAAAAAGAGGGGTTGAAGTCATTCCTAGAGGTGTCAGGGCAGATGTCCCCCCCAGATGTCCCCCCCAGTGAGGAGTGGCTGGGACAGGGTTGTTCCAGCAGGTCCCAGCCCGGTACCTGTCCCGTCCCGCCTGCTCCTCCACCGTGTCCACGGCGCACTCCAGGGACGCCTGCAGGGACTGCAGCTGGTGCATGGTTTCCCGCAGCAGGAACCGGGTCAGGAACTGCTCCATCTTCGAGGCAGTCTCGTACCTCTGGGGGAGAGGGGAGAGCATCTGTCACATCTGGCTCTGAGCAGCAGAACCACACCTGGAAGGGGCTGTCACTCAAAGAAACCAAACGGGGTGGATTTCAATAGCAATTTCAAATTTTAATTATCACCAAAAGTGACACTTGAGGGCAGAAGTGATGCTGTGGGGCAGAAGCCTCGGGGTGCACTGCCTGTGAGATCACAACAGGGAATGCAACCATGGTTCCATGGGCACTCCAGCCCCAGCACTGCCAGCTCCAGGGCAGGAGGGCACATGGACACAAGCCACAAGGTAAAGGTGACTCTCACAAGGTAAAGGTGACTCTCAGGGACAGCTCCCAGCCCCAGGGAGGGCTCCAGGGCTGGCACAGCATCCCCTCTGCCCCCTGCTCACACACTGCTCTGCTCACTCCAAGGCTGGGAGCCTCTGGTGCCCCCCTGGGTGCTGGCAGCTCCTTCCAGGGACCCCTGCACCACTGACAGGCCCGGGCAGGGGCTGGCTTTGTGCCCTCTCTGCCCAGGAAAACAGTGCCAAGCCTGTCTGCTTCCACGAGAGATTCCCTGATGAATTTCTGCCTGTGCTCACACTGGGGGATGTAAAAGTGGGTCCAGAGGGGCACATGAGAACACGTAAGAACTTGTTTTGGGAGAACAAAAGGGTCACCTGGCCTGGAGGGTGCCCAAAGAATGGGTCAAGAGGCACACCATGCCACAGGAGCAGGTCTGGGAGGCAGAGAGACAGGGAAATGCCTGGACACACACAGAGACACCCCAAACTCCCTTTCTCTGCCAGCTGGGATCACAGATCCTCTCAGCTCCTCTCCATGTACTATGGGCTCTGCTGGCAGCAGCATTCAGAGAGTCAGAGGATTTTAAGGGATTGGAATGGGCCTTGGAGATCACCCAGTTCCAATTCCCCCCTGCCATGGGCAGGGACACCTTCCACTGTCCCAGGCTGCTCCAAGCCCTGTCCAACCTGGCCTTGGGCACTGCCAGGGATCCAGGGGCAGCCACAGCTGCTCTGGGCACCCTGTGCCAGCCCTGCCCACCCTCACGGTATAGAACTTCTTGCTAATATCCAACATAAATTTCCCCTCTTTCAGTTTGATCCCATTCCCCCTTGTCCTGCCCCTGCAGTTCCTGAGGAAGAGTCAATCTCATTTCCCTGCAGCCCCTTCACACCCTGGAAAGGTGCAGGGAGGTCTCCACACAACCTTCTCTTCTCCAGCCTCAGCAGCCCCAGCTTTCTCAGCCTTCCCTGTAGGAAAGGTGCTCCAGCGCCCTCAGCAACTCCATGACCTCCTCTGGACCTTCTCCAACAGTTCCATGTCATGGGGAAACATAAATTGTGCACAATATTCCAAATGGGGTCTCATAAGAACAGCCTAGATGGGGAGAATCACCTCCTCTTACCTGTTGGCCCCATTCCTTGGGATGCAGCCCAGGATTTGGTCCAACCACTCAACTTTCCTGTCCAGTGTCCACTTAATTCCTCAAAACCACCTGACGTTCTGTCCTGGCACTGTCAGAAAAGCTCTGGCCATGGAGACAAGGTGCCCAAGGCAGGATGCTCAGGGACACAGGGAGTGAGGGGACAGGAGACAAGGCTGTGCCATACCCAGACACCTGTAGAGCAGACACTGCTGTCCTCCAGCGGGGCTGAGCCGGTCCCTGAGCCTGCTTTGCCCTCCTGTTCCCCTGCAGGCTCTTCCTGCATGCTCAGCATCCCTGCAGAGCACCAGCCATGCTGAAGCCCGCAGTGGTCATAGACAGCGGCAGCTGCTTCACCCGGGGGGGCTTTGCTGGCCAGGAGCAGCCCCAGTGCGTGCTGAGGACAGCGCTGGTGCACCCGTGCAGGGCGGGCAGCCCGGGGGATGCCCAGCAGCCCTGTCCTGGCCCGGAGAGCCCGGCGGGCTCGGCCCCCCGCTCCTCCCCGCTCAGGTACGGCGTGGTGGAGGACTGGGACAGCATGAGGACCCTGTGGAGCCACCTCCTGTGCTGCCGCCTCCAGGTCCTGCCGGAGGAGCACCCGGTGCTGCTGGCAGAGTCCCCGTCGTGCCCTCCCGGGGACAGGGCGAAGGCGGCCGAGCTGCTCTTCGAGGGCTTCGGGGTGCCCGCCCTGCACGTGGCCAACACCGGGTTCCTGTCGCTCTGTGCCCACGGCAGAGTCACCGGGCTGGCCGTGGAGGCCGGGGCAGCCATGTCCCACGTCACCCCTGTCTGTGGGGGCCACACCCTGAGGACAGGCACCCGCTGCCTGGGGGTGGCCGGGGATCACCTGTCCCGGCACCTGCACCGGCTGCTGCTGGAGAGCCCCACCGAGCTCCCGGTGCTGCAGGCTCTGACCACGAGGGTGCTGACCCAGCTGAAGGAGCAATGCTGCTACGTGTCCTTAGACTACGAGGGAGACCTCCTGGAGGAAGGCTCCCATCAGCCAGCCAGGTTCCAGACCCCCGACGGGCGCTGGATCACGCTGGGCAAGGAGCGCTTCTGCTGCCCGGAGCCGCTGTTCCGGCCGGGGCTGCTGCAGCACAGCTGCCCTGGGCTGCACCAGCTGGCCCGGCAGAGCCTGCACACGCTGCCCGAGCACGCCAGGAGACACGTTCTGGGCAACATCGTGCTCTCAGGAGGCTCCTCCATGTTTCCTGGCTTTCCCGAGAGGATGTGCTTGGAGCTGAACCTCCTTCTGCAAGGCGCGGGCGTGCACATCGAGGTCCTGGCAAACCCCAAGAGGGGCACGGCAGCCTGGGCTGGCGGCTCCATGGCAGCCTCGCTCACGTCCTTCCAGCAATCGTGGATGACAAAGGACGAGTACCAGGAGCACGGGGCTGGCTACGTGCACACGAGGTTCCAGTAGAGAGGTGGCATCCACCCCAGTGTGGCACTCTGCAGCAGGAGTGACTCTGAAACGCTGCACAGCTGCAGCAGGGGTGACCCCGTGGCTCCTGCGAGGCTGCAGGAGTGCAAAGTCAATTAAAGTGCCCCAAAAACAAAGTGCTTCTCACTGACACTCCCGGTTATTGCTTCTCCACCGTCTGACAAGGGTGTGTCCCTTCGGGCTGGAAAACAATTGGGGCTCATGCTGGGGGTCCCGGCCACGCTGTCTGGTCTGGGTACATTCAGTCACTCCTAATGCTCCAGGCTGCATTTCCCAGCTGGAAATGCAACTGCCAGGATGAGGAAGGGACCTTCTCCAGCTGTCAGCACTGCAGGACCCCCAAGGGGAGCCACAAGTGTGGGAGGAAGGAGCTGAGCAGGGGAAGGTCCCCACAGCACCTGCCCTGCAGCCACTTAGTGCAGGAGGTGATTCCTCATGCTGGCACTGGAACAGGTCAGCACTGGCTGAGGAAAATGAGCTGAAACCCAGGGAACTGCACTCACTCCTTGTCATTTCGGTCTAAAGGTCGTTTGGGGCTTCAGAGAGCCGATCCAGCTCCCTGAACAGGCATTTTCTCACCTGGCTTTGCTGCTGCCTCGCTAGACTGACTCAGCCGGGCAGGTCGAGATTAGAAAAGGATCAGAGGCTGCGGAGGAAGCAGCTGGGGAGCACAGCCCAGCTGTCACAGCAGACCCTGTCCCCATGGCCAGCCCCGTGCCAGCTCCTCAAGGGACACAGAAACCACAGGATGTCCCCGTGAGCACTGAGAGAGACGGGACCGGCAGTGGGAGGTCGAGGAAGGAGCCTCCACATGATGCCGGAGGGCTGGGTGCTCCCCAGGAGCATCCACCAGGGGAGGTCCACCCCTTTCCTGGCCAAGACAAGGAGACAGGCTGGAGCAGCATCCCTGCCTTTCCCATGGAGTCCTTGTGTGACCCCAAGGCTGCAGCACCCAGAGCCAGGCTGCCCTCACTCCCCCAGGCTCCCTGAACCATGTCCAAAATAATGTCCAGCAATGCCACCCCATTACTCGGGTCAAATATTTCCAATTCCTGCTGCATTTCTCTCCAGCACGCTGAGGATCTGGGATTCCAGAAGCTCTGCACACAAGGATTTTGTTGTAACCCTTCCACTGCTGGTGTCAAAGAAAGGGAGCAGTGGGGAGGGTCCTGAGCCCCTCATGGTTTCCTGGGTGCTCTGTGCCACCAGCCCAGTCCAGGAGCTGTGTCTGACTGGGCACAGCTGGGTGGGATGGGAAGAGAAGTGGGAAGAGAAGTGGAAAGAGATGCTGTGCTGAGAACATGAAGATCTCCTCCTTCTTCCTGCCAGCCTGGCCATCACTGCCTGCTCCAGAGTCAGGCAGAGTCCTCGTAAATACAGCCTGGCAAGAGCAGGCAGGGCCTGCAGGTCCTTTAGCAGGGCTCTTCCAGGCCTCCCTGGGATGAAAATTCACCTGGTTCTTCCATGCAGGTGCTCTCTCTGCCAAAGTGGGGCTCCCAGCCCTCAGAGAGGTGTTGGAACCAAAGGAATTGAGGGGCAGGTGCAATATGGGACATCTGCTCTCTGTCCTGGCTCACAGAGGTGTGAGCTTTGGCTAAAATCCAGCCCTCTAATCCCACGGCAGAATCATAACTCAAGCTGGAGTCCCTCTCTGGAAGTACAAATGTGGGATATATTCATGTCCCAGCAGGCAGGAATGCAGCATTTCTCCTCTCTGGCAGCCTCCAGCAGTGGCAGGTGTCCCACAGCCCTGCAGGATTGCTGCCCACTCCTGCCTGCTCCCCAGAGCAGAGCCCAGCACGCCAGGGAAGGGCAGGGAAGGGATTCCCAGGAGGATCCATAGCTGCACTGGGGCACACGGGGCTGGGATCAGAGCACCTGATCAGCACAGACCCCTCCTGGGGGAGAGCAGAGCTGGGAACTCCGGGCTGCCCTGGCTCCAGGCACGTTCAAACAGCTGGAGAAATGAGGCCATCAAATTTGCTTCAACAGGAAAAACCTGCAGCTCTTTTCCAGGGAGCACCAGTGGCACCTGAAGCTGTGGAGGGAGGAAATGCCTCACACCAACACTGAGGAGCACAGAGACTGTGCTGCCCTGTGGGCAAATACATGGCTATGCACATTCATTACCCAAAAAACCAGAACACAAAGGAAGTGAAATAAAGCACAGCTCTGCAGAGAGGATTCCTCCTCTCCCTCTGGACTTGTATTTAAAAACTGTGAGTAGGGCCAGGGACTTGAACCAATGAGAAAATGAATTTTCAGGAGATTCCTTCTCCTGGCATGACATTTCCACACTTACAGGGAGACACTGCTGAGGCTGGCTCTGGCCAGAGGAAAACTCAGAGAGGACTGACATTACAGAGGCACAAACAGCACTCTGATGAGGGTGGGACTGGTCCCCCTTTTCCTCTCTGTCTGACCAAGAGGTCAGGGGAGCATTCACATGCATGATGCCCCTCATGTGCCTGAAACAAAGTGAGAGGAATGAGGGATTTGTCTTTACAAACTAGCTGTGGATGCTGGTAGGTAAGACTGGCACTGAGAGATAAAAGAAACAATGGGAAGGATTCCACTGATTGATAAATGGAAAAAAAAAGATATTTGCCTTTACAAACAAACTGTAGGGCTGCTGATAAATGAAATTGGATATTGAAAGATAAAAGAAGTAATGGGGAAGAACCATGAATTCTATAAGAATTAAAAATTAAAAGGGAGGGTTGTACATTAGAGGGGAATCTCAGGTATCAGGAGTTCTGGGAAGTCTGTGCCTCTCAAGTACCTGAGCTAATGGGGAAAGAGAGAGGGAAATGTGGATGGGAAATTGGGATAAAAAGGAGGCTGCGTCCTCCAAAAATGTGAGAGATCCCAGGGGAATGTCCCATGGCCTCTCCCTTTATTCAAATAAAGCAAAAAGGACTCATCTGTCTCCTTTTTGGACATAAACCTCTGGTGTTTGTGGATTAATTTTCCTGACACAAGATTTACTCTTCCCCTCCCTGGCCTTGGCTCCCCATCCTCCAGGCTGTGTGGCTGCAGCACTGCCTGCACATGCAGACACCCCTTGATTTGAGGGGTTTGCTGCCTCTGACCCCCACATTTCACACTAAGGAGCAGCTGAGCTCACCACAGCTCCAGTTCCACACCCAGCTGCCCTCCCCTGGCCCCATCCTCACCAGCTTGGTTTTGTCCATGGCTGCCAGCACTGCAGCATTGAGGGTTTCCAGGGCAGAGAGCACATTCCTGTATTCCCCGAGGTATGCAGAGAAATAATCTGGAGCAGGACAGAAGAACACCATGGTCAGGTTCCTGAGCACCTCCATCTCTGCCCCCCCTGCTCCTTCTCCCCACACACCCCCACAGCTGCAAGGGGGCATCCCCTCCCTTTCCAGAGTCATTCTCCCACTTGGACTGGAATTAAAATCCTTCCCTATCCCCTTGGGAAAAGCACCTCGGTGCTGGGATCCAGCCCACAGGGACTTTTGATGCCACCCAGCCCTGCCCAGGGCACACACAGACCCCACCACACACACCCTGGGGAGGGGGAGCTCTCCAGGACAGGAATATCCTGACTTACCACACAACTTCTCCGTGTCCACGTTGCTGCAAGAAACACAAAAAAAGCTCCTGTTAGATAGTGGGGCTGGTGTGGGGGAAACTGTGGTGCTGAGCAGGGGTCTGGGGGCTTGAGTCCCACTGGATTTGTTGGTTGCTCATGCATTTTCAGAAGCTGCAGTAGGAAAAATAAGGAGCTGCACATATTCAGATCCAGTAGCTCAGGAGCCATGCCCGGCCCCTGCAGCACACAGGGGCTGAAGGAGCAGGGAAATCTGCTCCACCAACATCTCCTGGAGCTGGGGTGTGCTGAGAGGGATCTGTGACACCGCAGTGGGGCTGGGATGGAGATGCCCCACAACCCTGGCTGGCCAGCTGGGTTGGCAGCCCCGTTTCTGAGCCCTGGAGCTGCTTCTTCAACCCAACCCCAAAGGTGGGAAGCATCCAGCCAGGATTTATCTGTGTTTGTCCCTGACCTCAGCCCAGGTTCTCTCCGTGGGACCAGACCCCCTCCTCTCCCCTCTGCCCCCTCCAGCTGCTCTTGCTGCCCTTCTCTCTCTCAGAGCCCAGCTGATGTGGGGCTGGCTGCAGGCTCCCACGGCCTGGAGGACTTCACAGCCCTCAGAGTGGTTGTTCCTGCCCTGAAGGCCACTAAAGCAGGGATCTGGCTCCAAAAACCTGGGGGCAGGGCTAGACCCCCACCCTTTTCACTAACAGAGAGCACTGCACTGCACCATCCACCCTGGCACCCCTGCAGGGCTTGTGCAGGTCCTGTGGCTGCTAAAGGTGGTGCTGGGGTGGAGAGGGAGGAGGAAATGTTCAAAAACAGCCCCAGGTTTTGGGATGGTGCTGTAGGATCTGCTCAGATGGCAAAGCTGCTCTCAAAGCCCAGCATCACCCAGAGCCTGCAGGGACACACCCCAGGATGAAATTTATTCGAATCAGTCTCTGCTCAAGGCATTCTGCTGCCTCAAAATCCCCAAATGATTACAACCATTTCAAATCCTGATTGGGAAAATAGAAGAGAGCCCCAAAGAGAGCTTTAAAAGTGTTTTTAAGTGCTTAAGTGCTGTCACACGTGGAGGAATTGGTGGTGCCTGGAGTTTGCCAGGCTCCAAGAACAAGGAATGCTGCACTGCTGCTGCCCAGGAGGTGGGAAACCAAGGCCACATCACCCTGTCCCCCCTCTGACACTGCTCACAGGGCCAAGGGACAAAAACACCCCCATGTAAAACTAGGGCACAGTGTGTGAAGTGTCCAAAATGCCATTTAAGGTGAAATAATTAAGGCAAAATCCTCCTACAGCTTTTCACAAGACATCAAAGGCTGGTTTCTGTCTCTCACTTTCTTCTGGGCTTCCACTGAGAGCACTTTAACAGCAGGAGGTGTTTCAGAGCATGGAAATGTTTCGGCATGGGGGGTGGCAGAGCCAGGGCAGGGTTGTGCAGACGCTGTGCTCTGGAAGTGCCTCTGGAGCTGTGCAGGTGCACAGAGGGGCAGTGCGAGGCTGGGACTCAGCTCAGCTCTTTTAAACACGCAGGAGCTGAGTTAGGCAAGGCTCTGCACGCTGACCTGGCACTGCAGGCGATTTTTAAAGTGAGTAAAAAAATCGCGTTTCCCTCGAGACTCAGTACAGATAAACCTGCAAAGCCACAGCCCCTCGCTCTGCCAGCTCCACTCTGCCCAGCCCAACACACACACTGAGGTGTGGAGCACTGGTGCACATTGGGAAAAGGTTTTGCTCCTTCTGAAGTTTTCCCCTTTCTTTCTGGCAGCTGTGTGGAGCCTGCAGAGCTGCTGCAGTGCTGCAAGAGCCGTGGCACTGCAGCATGCACAGCACGGCCAGAGCCGTGCCCCAGAGCTGGCACTGCAGGGAAACACTGGCTGCCACCGCAGAGAAGGGGAAAAGGCACCAAACAGGGCATGGGGACACCTCGTGCACACCTTCCCCAGGCATTTGCACTGGTCCCAGTGAGCACCTGGGGCTGGGACTGGTTTCAGCAGGAACAAGGAGCCCCCAGCTCGGCTCCAGCAAGGTGTGACAAAGAGCTGCCATCAACCCCCACCCTGTGGCTTCTAAGGTTATTAATAACTCTTTAGATCTTGGCTGCTTGCTACTTAAAAAGGAATGTTAACTCATCAATCACTAAACCACTGAACACTGAACCAGTGAAGGGCATCTCGTGGCAAACACCATCCCTCTGGGAGCTGTCCAGGGGAAGATCTGCTCCCTCCCCTCCCCTCTGCAGCCTGTTCCACCAGCAGCCCTGCACAGGAACCTCTCCCCACGTCCCACAGGCTGCCCCAGAGCTGCTCCGTCCTCATGCCACCAGGACTAATTGACACAAAAACCAGGTGGAGCTCACGGGCAGGATGTGCACACAAACCCTGGCCCGTTCTGCAGGCTTTCCTCTGCTCCTCCCTGCCACTGCCACTCCACAAGAAGAGCCATCCTCTGCTCCAAAGCACTCATCCTGAGACTCTCCACATTCCCCATAGCTGTATTTTGACTGTGCTCAAACCACTGATTAACTGTAATTAAGCCTGAACTGATGATGGAGGATCTTGTCATCATTATGCTGTTGGGATTTTATCAGAATGTGCCTGGAATTTATGCAAGAAAACAGCAATCAGCTGCAGAAAAGCAGACGGGTTTTTTTTTTTAATTTTTATCATTTATCATGTTGGGAACCTCCACTGCCATCACAGATCTGGTTTCCAAACCCTTTTCATGTGACAAGGAGTGTTTCAGCCACTCTCCATCATCAGGGACTGGCAGCTCTGAGTCTCTGAGTAAAGAGAGAGGAGGGAATTCACTCAAATCCCTTCTTCCAGACACTCACAGGCTTGAGGTTATTTCCACTGAGAGACTTTAAGAGGCACTAGGCCAGCACTCCCACCCCTTGTGGCTCCAGGTCAAAGGCTGTGAGCAATCTGCACCCAATTCCTGAACACCTTCATGGAAAGATGGATTTTCCATCCCTTACTTTTCTAAATTTCCCCAACAGGTGCAGGACAGAAGGACAGGTAAAACCAGACAGCACTTCCCTGGGCAGGTTTCACAGTGCAGGCATTCAACCCCTGAAATTCTGGATGCAGCTGTGGAGCTCTCATACCTCCAAAAATATCAGTTTCTTCTCACCCAGACATTTCAGAGGATGAGAATGCTCTTTTCCAGGAAGATGAACCTTACTGTGCCACTGCCAGAGCTGGTGTGGAGCTCTGGACCAGCCAAACAAAACCATGGACCTTGCTGTTGTACAGCTGCCATCCAGAGCTGAATTTGGTTTCAACATAAACTTTTAAATGTCACAGAATTAAAGTGAGGGGATACTTTATGACAAAATGGAACCATTTTCTGAAATGCAGAGCAGAAACAGCCTCATGTGGAAATGTAGAATGTGAAGTGGGCCCAGCAGAGGTGTGTGATGCACAGGCCCCAGCATCCCACCTGAGAGCCAGAGGGGTGGGAGGTGGAGGTGGGAGAGCATGGGGCTCTCTGGAAGGAGAACAAGAAACGTGGGAAAATTCTGAACTATTCATGTTTCCATCTGTCAGCTCTGGGGCACAGGGGAGCAGCTGCACATGGCAGGGATGGGTGAGGGTCAGGATGGGTCTGGGCAGTGCTGGGCATGGAGGTCTCTGTTCCTGCCCCTCCTCAGGTCAGGCTGGCAGGGGTGAGGAAACACAAATTCCTGCCTAGACATGACAAACACAGCACCAAAGCCACCTGCTGCATTAAGGCTGAGACTTTGCCAGCATCACAAAAGCTTTGGGACACAAAAGCAGCACACCAGATCTGCTTGGAGAACTTGTAGCTGATTTCCAGCTCTTCTATCTGGCAGCAAATTTTGGCCAGCTCTCTGAAATATTAAGTTCCTGACAGTGCAAGGAACAAGCCCGGGGCAGAAGGGCAGTCCAGCCCCCCTCCATGGGGACAGCAGGACACCAGCACAGCCCTGACATGACACCAAATCCTGCACACCCCAAACCCCACATTTCCTACATTTGCTGAGAGCCACTGAGGGCAGGAATTTGGAAGCAGCTCTGTCTGAGGGTCCCTTCTGCCCTTGGTGACAGGAAGAGAACAAAGAGCCAAGGCTCATGCCCTGCTAACAGATGTCACCAGCTGGATGCTGCCATTGCCACGTTGCCATAGCACCCTCGTTAGGTAACGAGCTGTGGGGACACTGCAGCTCCCTGGGCAGCACCAGCCCAGACAGGTCCTCAGCTGCTCCACGCAGCTGGAACAAGCCCTGAAGGCAGGAGACCTTCCCTGCTCCGTTTTGAGCTGGGTTAGAGCTGCCAGCTTTGCTGCACCCTGTGTTTTCTAACGTTGTTGTGACTCCAGGATCGCCCCAAAATGGAGCAAAGGAAAGGAGCATTTCCAGAGGAAAGGGAACACTCACTGCCAGCTCCCTGGGATCACAGCCCAAAGGGACAGAGATATGTCCAGGGGACACCTCCTGCTGCCTACATCCACAAGCCCAACAGCAGCAGCCAGGCTGCAAGGAAAGCAGCACGAGGCTGCCCACACCTGCCCACTTCTCTGCCCATCCCTGCAGTGGGAACTAAAAACAGCTCCAACAGCACTGGGACTCCAGTATTCCCAGTGCCCCAGTCCTGGGTGTCTGCTGCTGGTGGCATTTTGTGGCTGTTGGCATCTCAGTGTGGCAAGAGGGCCCTTGCAGCTCAGGCTGCCCCAAATTTCCTCACCCTGGCAGGGATCTGTGCCTTCAAGGGTGTCAGAGGTGCAGGAGGTGCTGGGGAAGCCAAACCTGCCACCCAGACTGGGAAGAATCTGCAGCCCCTTGTCCCCCAGCAGCACCCCAATGTTTGGACAGACCCCAGCCATGTAATTCAGCAGCACCCAGTTCCTCCCAGTGCCAGGACAGACTCACCCACAGCAACCAGCTGGGCATAGAGACCCCAGTGACACCAAAAATACCCAAAAAGATGGGATGAGAATCCCAGCCGAGCCCAAGAGACCCCTCTGGATAGCACCACTCACGAGGAGACCAGAGCTAAACACAGTTCCTTCTCCTGCTCTTTAGGGCTTTCTTTTTTTTACAAGCAGTTGCCCTAAATTCCCTCTTACATGCACCAGGCTCACTTATGGTGGGAAGCAGCTCTTATGTAAGTGAAAAGCAGTTCCCTGAGTCAGCAGTGGCAAAGTCTGTGACTTTGCACAGTCTGTGCCATGTCCCCACACCACCACATGCTCCTGCAGACACACACGGGCTGGCTATTCCTGCACTGCATTTTCCAAACCAAAAGAATGGCATTTTCTGGAAGTGCAGTAAATCCCATGGCTGCTCTCAAAATGTCTGACTGCTCTCAGCACCAGGGCTCGCTGCTGGTGCTCGGTGGCTTTGAACACCAAAAGAGGTGTGGCAAGAGGTGGGTTTGTCTCACCCTGACTATTTATCACACCCACCCCCAAACCTCCTCCGTCTCCACTCCGGCAGTTTTAGCTTCCCCTCCGTGCCACCACGGTACTCACTCTGAGTGACGCCTGTCAATGCCACTGAACAACTCCCACAGCTCCTCCGAGCTCAGGATGCCATCCGAGAAATAGTTCTTGAACTCCTCAAATGACAGCTTCCCATCATCTGCATTCAAAGAAAAGGGAAGAGTAATTATGTATCTGTGGAAAGCAGCATCCCGGCCCCGGCGATGCTCCAGCGGGAGCGTGGGCAGGCTGGGTGTGTTCTGCATGGAAATTACAGCACAAATCTCCCTGGGAGCGTGGCCCAGCAGCCCAGCAAAAACAGGAGTGCTGCTGGAATTGCAGGTGGGAATTTCAGCCCTTTGCAAAAGACCCCGTCACGGTGTTCTTAGAAATGCATGCAGACTGTCCAAGAACAAACAGCATCAGATTTTCATGGAAAGAGAGTGCTCTCCATTGACTCAAGAGCTTTTTCCTTCCTCTCTGTGGAGGACTTCAGCTCCTGGGCTGCATTGTGATCTGCAATAAGAGCACCTCCTAAGCCACCGTGAAGGAAAAGAGCCCAAGAGTGTGGGAGGCTCAGGGAAACCACTTGTTAATTTTGGACCTCTTGGTTCCTGGGCGCTGGATTAAAAACTGAGTAGCAGAGCCTAATTCCCAAATGTCAGGGTCTCCAGGGGGACCCAGGAACAGGATCACCCAACCAGGAGCACCTGTAAAAGCCTGGACTGAGCACGGAGACAGAACCAATCCTGGCAGGAACCAAGCCTGACAGCCCCCGGGCAGGACAAGAGCTTGGAAGGGGCTGTGCCCTGCGGGGTGCATGGATGGGGAATTGGGGGACCCCATTCCCCATTCCCCAGGCCCTGGGCAGGCTCTGGGATCCAGGGGAAGCAGAAAAACATTTTCCACCCTCCCTCTTTCAGGCAAACCTCCCAGTGGGAAGGAGCCACGCTGCTTCAGCCAGAGCCAGGCAGGGAGGGGGAGGCGGCAGCAGGAACAAAGCACTCACCGTTCTTGTCGGCTCGCCGGAAAATCTGCAAGACAAAACACAACAGGGCTCAGTGTGGCAGCAGGGAGAGAAGGGCAGCTGAACAGTGAGCCAGGCAGCACCCAGCACCACGGAAAATCATCTCCAGGGGCTCAGGGAGCCGTGGAGAAGCCCCAGCTGCTGGGACTGCACAGGCTGCTCTGGGAAATTCCCTTTGCCAATGATTAAACCCATTTCTTGCCTCTAATGCACAGAGCCCTTGGCTGAGCAAGTTCCACACTCACAGCAAGCACCTTTTAGAGAACACAGAAGTGAAGCAGAAAGGACTTTGCTGCATCCTTGTGATGGCAAGTGTTTAATTTTTCAGTCCATTTAAACTAAAGAACATTAGGTATAAACCCAGTCGGTAAGGAAGCACTTTGTGCATCACCAGTACTCAAACCCCTGCTCCGAGCAGCCCTGAGCTTTGTGAGCATCCCTCAGCACAGCCCTTCCTGCAACACCTCGGTGTGCACACACTCTGCAATGAATTATTTGTGAATTAATTAATCTGTAGCTGCTTCTGCCACGGAGCTCGGTTGGAGAACTGCTCCAGTTCAGGGTCTCAACACAGAATCCCAACCATGAGGCTTCTCCCATGACCCAGGAGAAAGCTGGGGCTGCTCAGCCCTGCCTGGATCTGTTTCACCAGTAATTATTGGACGGTCTGGGGCTGACTCCAGCGAGGAACATCATCTCTTGCAAAGCCTGGGAACAATTTCCCACACCGAAATGTACGAGGTTTCGTCTAGCACATCCTAATGGAGTCAATGACAGAAAATTGTCCATGTGGCAACTGTCCTTTATATCATCCTGGGTGATGAAGAAATCTGCAGGTCTGAAGAAAGATTAAAAAAGAAAAAGGGCCGGGAATGGAGAGAGAACTTTCTTATTCTTGCCCACACACCAGCCCGGAGCAGCCCCGCTGCCCCCGGCTCCTCCTGCAGCGCCAGCTCTGCTGCGTGCTCCGAGCCACGGCCCCACATCCAGCCCTCACATCTCCCTGGAAACTGCCCCGAGCTAAAGCAAGAGCTGCCCAGGAAAACCTCTGGCTTGTAACTGGGCAGAGGCTTTTCTAGTGCTGGAGGTCCCTGGTTCCTTCCCCAAAAAGGACCAAAAGCAGGGACAGCAGGGACAGCTCCTTGGAGGATGCTCCTCTGAACACAGCGAGCTCCTCCTGCCCCGCGCTGCTGCAGGAACAGAGGCTGCCTTGGGCTGAGCAGCATTAGGTGACCATGCCCCCAGGATTCCAGCTGGCCAGGCTGCTGCCCTGGCAGGAAAGCCGGGCAGGCACTCCCTGAGCACCACACGGGACCTGCTGGATGTGCTTTGGGGCTGAGATGGGAACCTGCAGCTCCCAAACAGCGGCGATTTCTCTGGATTTTAAAGCAAAGCTTCCCCCAGGCTAACGGAGTCCTTGTAGGGTCTCACAGCTGCAAGGGCAGCCCCCGTGGGTACCACATGTCCGTGCCACCCTGCCATGGACTGTCCATCAAGGGAGAAGCTCTGTGTCATCAGAGGGACACATGGCTCATGTAATGACACCTCCGTGGCTCCAGGTGTCACAGAGGCCACCCGGCTCATCCCAGAGACAGGCAAGTGTCACCCAAGCACTGGGTGCAGATTCGAGCGAGGGCAAACATTTCCCACTCGCAGGCTGGCCTTGCTCAGCAGGGTTTATCTGTGGGCTCAGAGGGAGAACACAATTTCAGGGAAGATCCCCTGGGGCTGAGAAGGTCTCTAATCCAGAGTGAGCCCATCCTGGGTTCAGCAGCAGCCTCAGCAAACAGAGGGGATGCCTCTCCCTCACACACAAGGCTCAGTGAGTTACACGAGCCAGTGCACACACGACAGCTGCCTGGAGCTCAAAATAAACGTGGCACAAGCAGGGAGCTGTGAGTGCCCCCGAGGCAGGGCCATGTCTGCTCCAGAGCCTCTGGAATAGCAGAGCTCTGCACTGCCTGCAGCCAGCCCGGCCCTGTCTGAGCCAGGACCCAGCTCCAGCCCAGCACAGCCAGCACAGAGCCACTGCCATGCCCCACAGGGCGAACCCTGTCCCCTCCCTGGGCACAGGGACACGCTCAGCCATGGCAGAGCTGTCCCCAGTGCCGACAGCAGCCCTGGGACAAAGCCAGGGAAAAGTGATGCAAAGCCAGGCTGGGAGTGGGATTAGGTCTGCCTGGGCTGCTGGAGAGCCCTTCAAGCAATCCTTGTCTTCCCTCAGGGTGGATTGGCAGCCTCAGAGGCACAAGGGCACTGCCTGGAGCCCGGGATGCTTCCCTCAGCCCTTGGGCTTGTGTCCAAGCAGCCGCAGCCAGGACAGAGGGAAGAGACACTGAAACAGCATTTATTTACAGGGTGAGCCCCAAAGTGCCCCAGGAAGGAAATTATAGGATTTCTCCCTGCCTGGAGGTCTGGAAGCAACCGCGGCTGCTGGGGAGGGGACAGCTGCCTTGGGGACAATGAGCTCATCGACCCACGGCAGGCTAAGGCAGGCTGGTCGGGCACCAGAACCGTCCTTCCTGAAGCTCCCTTATCCCGGGAGGGCAGCGAGCAAGCCCCAGGCACCAGCCCAGGACAAATCTCCCCGAGGCTCGAGATGCTGCACAGGGCGATGGCAGCACTGCGGTTCGTACCGCACCTGCAGCCAAGCAAGGCAAAGCCCTCCTCCTCCTCCTCCTCCTCCTCACTTCTCCAAAGGCAGGAGATGTGCAGGCAGGTCCCAGGGGAAGCAGCAGCCCCCAGGATCTGTGGAGGGCAGCGTTGCCGGGAAGGCAGGCGGGGCTCCTGCCCTGCTGCCGTGGGATGCTCACCCCGAGCAGCCTGGGGCCGCTGGACAGCGGCCAAATGCCCAGACACAAAAGTGCAGAGATTAAATTCACCCTGCCAAGCTCTAGAGCAAAGGTGGGAGCAAAGGAGTCACAGGGTAGAGGAAGAGAAGCCGTCAGAACCCGGAAAGCAGCTGCTAGCGTTGTTAACATTTCCCATTTTAATTGCTTTAATGACACCCTGAGGGATGGATGTGCGACTCAACGAGTGCCCTGAGGAGCTGAGCTGGAACACAGCTGTCACCACCCGCCCCCTCCTGCCCATATTCCCTCAGACAAGTAATTAGTGCTGTTAATGATGCTGGCTGGAGAGCCTGGCAGCCCGACCCCCCCAGGCAGGACAGAGACCCTGACCCCCAGCTGGCAGCTGCGAGAGCACCACGGCCGAGGGAGCCGCGCTGCCCTCCTGGGGATGCCAGGAGGGCTTGGACTGGACCAGACGTGGCATTGACCTTCGCAAAGTGTTGCCCGAGATCTGCTGTTCCCCTTCTCTGGGATGGACTGGGACACGGGGGTGAACCTGGCTCGGGACAAGACGGAGATGACAGCTGGGAGGTGACAGCTGGCACCGACCTGGGCTGTGCAGGTGCCCGGGCACCACCAGCCCTCATCCTTAACCCTCGCTGCCTTTCTCCTCCTCAGCGCTGCGGCAGGGCAGAGCCAGCACCTCTGCCCCCACATCTCCTTGGTACCGGACACATGGCAATGCCAGGGCTCCTTACCAGGGAGATTTGGGCGCTCTCCACCCGACCCAGCTCACGAGAGACACGCCGGAGCAGGAGGTGCTCCAGAGGCGGGCTCTGCCCCGGGCTGTGCCACTGGCCCGGGGAGATTGGCCGGGATGGGGATGCTCTGCCTCCCCCGGAGCCCTGGCCCCTCTCACAGCAGCAGCACGGCCTGGAGGGGACGCGGTGCGACAGGGGGAACTGTGCCAGCATCTCTGAACACAAAGACAGCCACCACCTGCATTTTCCACTCCCCCATGCCGCCCACAGCCGCCAGGATGCCCGAGCGACCTCCAACCCGCACGGAGCATCCTCCTCCATAGCCCCGGTGTGGCGGGAGCGGGCAGGGACAGGGGGACAGGGGGACAGGGGCTGCACCCGGGAGCTGCAGCAGACAGCGCTCTGTTGGATCCTAGGGCTGTGAACGGCTCCAGGGAACCTGGAGCCTGGAACCTGTTCCTGCCAGACACCGCTCCCGCTCCGGGAGTCATGACAGCCAGCTCTGGATGAGGCGTGGGCTGTTTCCAGCCACCCAGAGACTCAGCATTCAGCAGAAGGACACGACATCATTATTTAAGCCATCACGACCAGCTCGGGGCTGGCAGAGCCTCTGGCGCATCCCTCGGGCCGGTTCCTCCGGGAAGGAGCCTCAGCCCGACGCCCACCCGTGCGCGGCTCCCCGGGGATGGGGGTACGGCGGCCCTGGGGCTGGACAGGGGTCCGGGGGTCCCGCCCGCGGTACTCACGTCGTGGAAGATGGGCAGAGGCTGGCGGTGGGGCTTGGGGCCGCGATCTGCTGAGAGCAGGCACACGGCCAGCAGCTCGGCACACGACATCATGGTCCCGGCGGGCGCGGTGCTGCGGGCACCGGGGGAGCGGTGCGGTGCCGGAGGGTGCAGTGCCTTAGGGTGCTGTGGTGCCCTAGGGTGCGGTGCGGTACCGCAGGGCACGGAGCGGTGCCGTAGGGATGGGTTCGGTGCGGTACCGCAGGGCACGGAGCGGTGCCGTAGGGATGGGTTCGGTGCGGTACCGCGGGGTGCAGTGCGGTGCCGTAGAACGCGGTGCGGTGCCTTAGGGCACGGCTCGGTGCGGTACCGTAGAGATGGGCTTGGCGCGGAAGGAATGGCCTCGGTACGGTAAGGATGGGTTTGGTTCGGTGCCGTAGGGATCAGCTCGGTGCGGTAGGGACGGGTTCGGTGCGGTGCCGTAGGGATGGCTTCGGCTCTGTTCGGTTGTGTAGGGATGGCTTCGGCTCTCTTGGGCTCGGCACGGGTGGTTCTGCTGGGCTCGGCTCGGTTCGGTTCAGTTCGGTTCGGCCCGGCCCGGCCCGGCTCGGCTCGGCTCGGCTCGGTCCGTGCGCAGGTCGCGCCCCGCCGATCCCGACTCAGCCGAGCGCCTCCACCGCCCCAGCCAACTTTGGCTCCGCGGAGGCCCCGCCCTCGCCGCCATACGATTGGTCACGAGCTGTGATTGGCACCAAGAACCACCAATGGGCTTGGCGGAGGGGAGGGGGCGGTGCCGCGCTGGGTCCCGGTGCCCGCTCGCCGCTGGGGTGGCCCCGGTTGGACCCGGTGCAGCCCAGTGTGGTCCCGCTCTGGGTTGTGTGACCGTGCCTGAGTGTCCCAGGGTGGCCATAGGTCTCAGTGTGGTCACTGCTGGCCCCACAGGAGTGCTGGGTGCCTCAGCTGGCGCTAGGGTGGCTCCAGACTGGTGATGGATGGTCTCAGTGTGGTCGTTGTTGACCCCGCTGTAGCCCTGGGTGCCCCAAGTGAGGCCCCAAGTGGTCCCAGTTTGACCGTGAGTGGTCCCATTGTGGTTGCTGTCGGTCCCACTGTAGCCCTGATCACACCAGTGTGGCCCCAGCTGGTTCCAGTTGAGCCATGGGTGGTCTCAGTGTGGTCATAGCTGGCTCTAGCATAGCCCTAGTTATCCCACTGTGGCCCCAGTTGGTCCCAGTTTGACCACAGGTGGTCCCAGTGCAGTCACTGTTGGCTTTGGGATAGCCCTGATTGTCCCAGTTTGACTACAGGTGATCTCAACATGGACACTGTTGGCATTCTGAAAGAAATGGTTTCCTCAGCTGGCCCTGGGTTGGCCCCACTTTGACCACAGGTGGTCCCTCTCTAGTTTTGGTGGCCCTTGAGTGGTCCCCTGACACCCAGAGTGGCTCCAAATGAGTTCCTGGTGGTGCTGGTTCCTCCATGCCCACAGTGCCAGGCAGCCTCTGCTCCGTGCTGCTTCCCTCCAGGGCAGCATGCTGGGATCCCAGTACCTCCAGAGATGTGAAACCACCCCTGCCTCAGCAGGCTCCAGGAGAGGAGGAGGAGCTGTCCCCATCCCTTGCCTGGCACAGGCATCCTGCATTCTAGGATTTCACTTACTGAGAAAGGGGCATGAACCAGTTTTGCTTGGATTTTGCAAAATCCCAGGCAAGGCTTTGCCTCCCTCAGCAACGCCTCTGCTTTCACATGGAGCTCTCCAGGACACCCTGATTGCTGAGCTCAGCTCCCTTAAGCCAGGTTTCTGATCCAAGCTCCTTCCCCACCCCAACGTGACCGAGCTGCAGCACGTGGAGCTCACTCACCCCCTGCTCCCGTAGGGATAATGTGCTCCAGGCTGAGCCCACGGCATCGCAGCTATTTTTACCATCTCCCAGCTGTTCCAGGTGTGTGCAAGGCAAAATAAGGGAAAAAGTGCACCTGGGCCCTGGCAGGGGCATCCAAGGGCTCCAGGATGCACATGCACTCACCACGCTTGGCACGGGGCAGTCCCCAGGGAGGCAGAGAGGTCCAAGGGCTGGAGCTGCTGAGCGTGACCATCATCAAATCCAACTGAAATGGGAGCAGGATCAAAACACAGGCAAAGGATGCAGGAGGGACAGGGGATTCACTTTGACAGGGGTGTGGAAGGGGTTTGGGTGATGGTGAGGCTCTGCCATGGATTGAAATCTCCCCCTTGGAAGGGCTTCCCACACTCCCATCTGCTCCAAAAATCCATGTTCTGTGCCCAATGGGATCCCTCAGAGCCAGCATGAATTTCCCTGTGGGAAGGAGCAGCCTGAGAGTGAGGATGAAGTTCAGGGCAAAACTGCTGATGGCAGGAGATCACAGGTGCACCCAATTCCACAGGTGCTTCCAAAAAGCCATGGCAGGGAAGGGGGACACGGTCCTGGCTGTGGGGGACACCAGGGCTCTGCTCTGCTCCCCAGGACCTCACAGGGGTGGAATTAAAGGAAGCACCCACTCAACAGCATCCCAGAAATAAACAATGCTGCTCTTCAGCTCCCTAAGTTCCTTCTGTACGGAAGAAACGGGAGAGATTTTTTGGAAGGGGAAATAGAGAAGCACGGGGTGGGATGCAGAGGTGGAGCAGAACACTCCTGCCAATAGAGACCCCAAAGCCCTATAGGACCCTCTGAGGGAGATTAGGTTAAAGGTACAAACCCCTTATGAGGGGCACCTAATGCCACTGCCAGCCTGTCCCAGAGCTCATCCCACTGTGGAGCTCTCCTGACTCCCCCAGACCCCAACCCTACAAGGACAGGAGAGCCCAGGGCTGCCTGGGCTCAGCACCGTGGCCAGATCCTGCACAGAATTTTCCAGTTCCAATGGAGTCACCAGTGCAGCCCAACAGCACCCCAGAGCTGCCTGGAAATGGTCACACTGCCTGGGAATGAGAACTGAGAGCCCGTGGAGCAGCAGGATGTGTGCAAGGTGCCCTTCTCCTGACCGTGCTGCCTTCACCTGACAGAGAAAAGCGTCTTTGGAGCAGATAAATAAAACTAGGCAGTGCCTGGGGCTGCTTCCCAATGCTGCTCTTCCAAAGCAGCTACCATCAGCTCCCTCTCCAGCCATCCGAAATAGCAGGAGGGAAGCCCTTCAGCTGCATCATGAATCATCCTGGGAGGCAGAGTGGTTATTTTTAAGGTGCCGAGGCTCACGTGGAGCTGCCAGTGCAGCCCCCAGGGATGGGATGGGCTGTGCTGCTGCAGTGGGACACAGCCCTGTCCCTGTCGGGGCTGCTCCCATGGACGATGAGAGTCCCAAGGGTTTGGTGTCCCAGGAGGCTCCCTGTGAGGGCAATGTGATGGTGATGCCATCAGAGAGCTTTGCCTTCACTCAGGGGAAACAGACAGAGCTGTGTTGCTGCTGGGGCTTGGCTGGCTCTGGGAACAGCCCTGCGCAGCTCAGGATGTCAGTGCAAGCCCTCTCCCTCTCCCTGTGCCTCCTGGCTCCCACAAAAACCAATTCCTGTGCTGGGGTGTCTCCCCTTTGGCAGCACTGCAGATCACCAGCACCATTCGTCACGACAGAACTCAGCAGAGGAGAGGAGGAGGGATGGATGAGGAGGAGTTGGCATATGGCTGGGCTGGGTACCCTGCAGGAACTCATAAAACCTCCAGCACCTTCCACCTCAGGTAACAAACACCTGCAATGGAGGACACAGCAGGCAGGGACCCAGGTCTGTGCCCTCCCACCTGGTCCCCATCCTGCCCTGGCTCTGTGGGGCAGGAGCCCTATGGATCAGAGCAGCAGGAATGCTGTTCCAGTGCCATTGTCTGAAAAAGCCCCATTGTCACGCACAGGGGTCACCCATGACAGCCTGTGTGTGACACTGCCCTGCTGGGCACTGGTTTGGAGATGGCAGGGCCCTGGCTGGCCCTGCTGCCATGCTTCAGAGGGCTGGGAATGGTGTGTGGAGCTGAGCTGTGGGGTTTGGCACCCCACACCTGCACACTGCCACCCACACGTGTCCAGCTGTAAGAACAGTCCAGGGGCAGCACAGCCAGCCAGGGACTGCCTCAGGTGTGGGAATGGAGGCACCAGGATGCAGGCAGGAGGCCAGGCAGTGGTGATGGGCTCTGTGTGTCACCCAGCACACAGCAGCAGCCTGTCCTGCGGTGGGGATGGGCTCTGTGTGTCACCCAGCACACAGCAGCAGCCTGTCCTGCAGTGGGGATGGGCTCTGTGTGTCACCCAGCACACAGCAGCAGCCTGTCCTGCAGTGGGGATGGGCTCTGTGTGTCACCCAGCAGCCTGCCCTGAGCCTGGGATCCCAGTCCCTGCCAGTGCAGGAAGGAGCAGGGTGAGTTTACACAACATGGTCAGGGTAAAATATTTATCAGGCTGTTTAAAGGAAAACCAGGCAGGAGGCTGGGCAGGAGGAGGGGAGAAAGTGCACAAACATGGGCAGGAAGTAGCACAGCCCTGGCTGCCACTGAAGCAGAGGCCGTGGCCCCACTGAGCCCCATCCTGGCTGCCAGGGAATCCCTGGCAACTCCAAACGTGCCTCCCTGGGGGTCCCCAGCATCCCCCAGTCCTGGTGTGCTGCAGGGGGAATCAGGGCACACAGGGCCAGGGCTGCTGCTGGCAGACAGCGTGGCCCCAGCGAGCAAGGACACAGGGACCTCGAACTTTGGGCCACAAACTGGTGCCAGCAGGTGCCTTGAGGCAGCACCAAGAGCCAGGGTGAACAGGGAAAGCTGGGAACTCAGTGGATGGAGTGGCTCCACATGGGCCCCATGCTGCAGGCACTGCCAGGAAAATGCTGCCCCAAAACCAGGGGAAGGTGAGGAGGGAACCAGGCAGGAGAGGAGCCAAGTGGAGACAAGGACTGCTGAAAGGAGAGCAAACCCCATCCAAATCCATCAGCCCATCCTCCTGCAGCACAGCCTCTTTGGTGGAGCAGGATCAGGCCCAGATCCCACCCTGTGTGGGACCAAGGACCAAAGCACCTCTTGCAGCCCCAGGTACAGACATACCCGTCATGTATTTCAAGTTCAAAGTGGAAAACAGACCACAAAATAATCTCAAACGTCTTGGTTTCTCAGCTGAGGTCCCCACTACCCCTTACACCCCCCTAAGGCACCTGAGCAAAGGACAGAGTCAGTAGAAATCTTTATTAAACACAAAGCTCAGAGAAACACAAGCTTGTTAAATGGCAGTAAAAGTGAAAGTGCGTCTCCAGCTCTGCCCAGGGGGACCCCAGGACCGCCCTCCCCTCCTCTCCCAGCCCCAGTGGCCCAGGGATGGGGAGCCAGAGCCAAAAGGCTGAAGGGCTTCACAGAGAGGAGAAGGAAAGCCTGGAGACAGCGTTGGGTGCTCACCTGCAGAAATGCTCCCCCTGCACACCTGTGTCCCTCACGGGGACACTGCACACGAACCCAGGGCCACCAGCCCCACCCAGCCCCGTCCCTGCTCCCACAGCCACCTGCCACAGCCATGGCCCTGCCAGCCCCAGTTTGGACACAAGCAAAGCCAGGATGTGCTAGTGAGACCCTGGTGGCACCCTGTGTGTCCCACCAGCACTGTTCTCCTGCTCCCTCCATGTCCTGGGAGAGCTCCACACGCCATAAATAATAAATAAATACCCCACACTCAGCCAGGCAGTGGGCAGCCCCCAAGTGGGGGGACAGCTCTGGCCTAGCACCCCCCACATCTCCACCACCCCCTCCCAGCACAACAAAAACTCTCAGCACCCCCACTCTGCTGTACAGCCCCCCCCAAACCCCCATGGAAATGAAACGCTGTCCCCAGGGGACAATAATAAATTAATCAAATCCTTAATCTATACACAGGACTGCTTAAAGCTCTGGAACAGGCTCCTGGGGGGCAGTGGCTCTGCCCTGGGCAGTTCCCCCTGATCAGGGCCTTGTGGGGGGGGTCCCTAAGATGGGAACCCCACCCTGGCATCCTCCTTGTGGGGCTGGAGCTGGGGATGCCATTAGCCCCCTCCGGGCTGGGGGGGCTGGAGGGATAAAGAGAAAATATTGCAAAAAGGGATGGGGGAGGAACAGCGGGTCCTGGAGCCAGAGAAGCTGCCCTGCCCGGGCTGCCCCCTCCCCTGGCAGCTCCCCCAAGCACCTGGGCGGGCACAGCTTCAGAAGTCCAAGGGGGTGAAGTCCCCAAAGTTGCAGTCAAAGAGCTCGCTGATGCCCTCGCCCTCCTCCAGCCCAAAGTGATAGTCCTGCACCTGCGGCGGCGACAGGTTGATGAACTCATCGGCCAAGAAACCCTCCAAGTCCTCCCTGCTCTGCTGCTCCAGCAGGATATCCATGGAGGCCAGGGGAGACAGGTTCACCTCCTCCTCCGGGCTCTTGCTGGGCAGCGTGCTGGGTCCTGGCAGCAGTGCTTCTGTGGGGATGGAAAGCAGCTGTAAATCCCACAATACTCTGCAAATAAATGCAGATGCCTGAGCAGCATCCCAGCTCCTTGCTTGTGCCAACAGCAGAGGGGCTGATGAGAACCACGGTGACATCCCACCAGCCCCCTGGTGTCCCCAGCCCCACCTTGCTCTCCGGAGAGCAGCGGCATGTTCACCTCCTGGGCGGGATGCAGGAGCAGGGAGGCTCTGGGCTGGGAATGGCTGGGAGAAGAGTCCTCTGCAGGGGCTTTGAAGGGGCTCTTGACGGGGCTGCAAACCCCTGAGCTGTCCTCGGGGCAGAGAAACACATCGATGGGGCCCTGAGTGCTTCGCACGGAGACCTGGAACGCCTGGGGAAGGGGACAGGAATGAGACAAGGCAGCACAAGGATGCCCAGGGAACACCGGGCTGCTCAGGGAGGGCAGAGGAGGAGCAGAGCGTGACCCCAGCTCACCTCTGCTGGGTCTGAGACCTGCAGCTGGGTCTCTGGAGGGGCTTTGATAACCATCACCATTTGCTCCGCGGGGTCCACAATGCTGCGGAGGTCCTGGCAGGTCACATAGGCTGCGGTGGGGCGGGTCAAGGAAGGGACACAGGGATGTGGGCTGGGAAACGCCCTGCCCGTGACACCGAGGCTCAACCACAGCCACCACCCAGCCAGCCCCACCCCAGAAGCAAAGGATATTGCTGGTTGGCGGGGTCCTCGGTGAGCAGGCGCAGCTGCACCGTGCACATCTGGATGAGGTCATCCAGCTGCCGCTCGGCCGCCTGCAGCTCCCGCAGCTCCTTCTCCAGCAGCCGGTGCCGACCTGGCGCTCCCACGGCGGCCTGGCTGCCCCTGGGGAGCACCGTGTCCATCAGGAGCCAACCCCCACGGCTTCCTCTGCCCCACCGAGACCAGGACACACCCCACCCTACAGCCAAGGAACCAGCCCTGCAGGGATTTTGCAGCAGACCACTCCCCAAGGCTGGATGCAGCCCCCCATTCCCCTGGATGACTTGGGGAGCCCCAGGAGGACTCGCCAGTGACACCAACACTGGTCAGGAGCCTCGTGCCATTGAGCGCAGCCCTTCCCACAGGGGGCCACCACCTGGCCTGCAGCTGAAGCTCTGGTGACCCTGTCCTAATATTCTCCACCCAAGTAAGACCCTCTTGCACCCAGAGTCTGGCCCAGACAGCTCCCACACCCCAGGGAACAGCCAGGCACAGCCCCACGAGCCAGGGGACATACAGCCACTGGATGTGGTTCTTGGACTTCTTGGTGATGAGCTGTATGCCCTCCAGGACATTGGTGATGTCGTAGATGCGTCTCTTCTGCACCTTCAGGACCTCGGCCGCCCAGTTGAGATCCACCACACCATCTGGGGACTGGCTCAGCAGCTCCAGGAAGCGCTTGGTGGTGAGGTTCAAGGAGGTTTCATAGCGGGACTTCTCTCCAGGAGACTTTGCCCCTACCAGGAGTGGAGGACAAGTGTCATTTAGCCACAAGGGAAACCCAGAGCTGAAGCTGAAAGGTCACAAAACTGCCACAATTGCAGGTGGCTTGTGGACTAGTGACCAGGACTGGCACCCCAAACTCAAGCTGTTTTCTCAGGGGTGCAGGAAGGGTGCACCTGGCACAGGCTGTGACACCTGTGCTTCGTTGTGACCACAACTGTGACTGAGAACCGAGTGCCAGGCAGGCTCAGGGGGGAGATCAGAGCAGGTCCACCTGGGACACTGCACTGACACCATGCTGGCACCTGCAGCTCCATCCCACAGGGAGGGACAGAGCCAGTGTGGTGCCCAGGAGATGGGCAGGACAACCATGCCACCAGCACAGGGCACAACAGTGAGTGCAGAGAGTGGGCAGGAGCAGGCCAGCCCCAGGAAGAGCCCATTCAGACCGACACAAAGGGACTGGAAGAACCTACCAGGGGTGAGCCTGTGGGAGCACAGTGGGGCTGCAGGACCTCTGCTCTGAGCTGGGCTGGCAAGGGGGGCCAGGGGGAGTGGAGCTGGTACCTTTAGCAGAGTTCCTGGTCTTGCCCCGGCTCACTGGCAAACTCTCTGCTATGTACTGGTGATCCGTCTCCAAGTTCAGCTTCCTCTTCACCTGCAAGGGATGGGGTCAGCAGAGGGACAGCCACCCCCACGGCTCCCCTGCTGATGGAAGGCTTCTGTGAGGAGACCCCCAGCACCGTGGGGTACAGACACCCCAGATCCCGGCAGGAAGGAGCTGACAGGAGCTGTCACACACGCCGGCGGGGATGGGGGGCTGTCTCAGCCGCGGGGATCGCCCCAAAGCTGGCGTGGGCCGTGGGTGGGGAGGCAAAGCACGGCCCGGCGCCCGGGCCTGCGGCTTCCGGAGCGGCGGCGGGGCAGGGCCGGCCCGGCAGGTGCTGCGTGGCACGGCCCGACCGTACAGCCTGGCACAGCCGGGGACACCGGGCACGGGCTGACACGGAGCAGGGCACGGCACAGCATATGGCACAGCACGGGGCACAGCAGGGAGCAATACAGCCCGGCCCGCTATGGAGCTGGGTCCGGTACGGAGCCCTGTCCGCTATACAGCACGGCTCGGTACGGCACGGCTCGGTACGGCACGGCTCGGTACGGCACGGCTCGGTACGGCACGGCTGGCTACACAGCACGGTCCGGTATCCAACCGAGCCCATTGTACAGCCCGGCTCGGTGTAACCCGGTCGGGTATACGGCCCGGTCGGTACACTGCCGGTTCGGTGAGGCCCAACACTGCACAGCCCGGAACACAGCTCGGCCCCGCCGGTCCCCGGAGCCCCCGCCCGGCCCCCGCCCCTTCCCCATCCCACTCGCGGGGGTTACCGGCGGGCGGCCCAGCGCGGGCCGTCTGGGCGCGGCGCCGGGGCGGGCGGGCTGCGGCGTGGCGAAGAGCAGGAGGTCGGTATCGGGGTGGCCGCCGCCCGCGGGCTCCTCGGCGGCGGCGGAGACGATCAGGAGGTGCGGGGAGGCGCTGCCCAGCAGCGCCGCCAGCCCCGCCGCGCCGCCCGCCGCCGCCATGGCTCACATGGCAGCCGGTGCCGCCGGTGCGGCGGGCGGCGCGGCGGGCAGGGTGCGGACAGGGGCGCGGCCCATGGCGGGCGCGGGGCCGCCGCGCTCCAGCTCCGACTCCGGCTCCGCTCGGCTCCGCTCCGCGCCCGCCGCCGGATTGTTCGGTGCGCCGGCCCCGCGCGCCTTTGCGCGCCAAATCCTTTTTGCCGCGAAAAGCGGCGCGAGCCGCCCCGCCGCCCGCCCATTGGCTGCGCCCGCCGCGGCGGGGAGGAGAGGGCGCGCTGTCATTGGCTGCAGCCCGCGGGGCGGCGGGCGGTGCCGCGCGGCCATTGGCGGGCGGGGGACGCGCTGACAGGCGGCCAATCAGCGGCGCCGCGCCGGGGCGGCGGCCAATGGGAGCGCGGCTCGGGGACGCGGCGGGGGCGCCGAGTGGGTGCGGCGCGCGCTGCGTGTGCCCGCTCTGGGGGTGTCCCCTCTTTCCCGTGTCCCTGTTTGTGTCCCCCGTGTCCCGCCGGAGGTGTCCCCCATCGGGTGTCACCTCCCGTGTCCCTGCTTGTGTCCCCCACGAGGGTGTCCCCTCCTGTGTGCCGCCGCGGATTCCTCGTTCCCAACCGGCCCCGGCTCCCGGTTTGCCCACCGTGGGGATTTTAAGCCTTTCAGAGCCGGTCCCGGGGGGGCTCAGCCCCGCCGGGGTGATGGGCTTCCGGCTGCGGGCGCGGCCGCTCCCCGCTCCGGATGGCCCGGGAGGACAGCGGCACGCACCCACGAGCAAAGTTCATGTCGCTCCCCTGCCCTGCGGACTCTGCCCAACCACGGGTGTCACTGGTGGGGAAGAGGGTGGCTTTGGGCTCTGCGGGGTGTCCTAGGCTGTCCCTCGTGTGTTCCCCTTCCCCAGGGGTGACAGCAACCCCAGCCTGGCCCAGGCCCGTGGCACACCCCGGCAGCAATGCCTTGGGACATCAGTGGGTGCTCGACTGTGCTGGGGCAGGAGCTCTCCTGTACTGCGGGCCAAGGTGTCTGCAGGATTTTTCTCTGAAAGTGTTGGACAATGAAGGGATCAGTTCAGGGTCGTCATCTCCCTTGTTCAAAGCACCCCCGAGACCATGAATGAGGCTGTTGGGTAAGTCTGGAGGCTCAGATCTGGCTCAGATGCTGCTCCAGGGGTTCAGCGTGCACAGAAGGACTGGGATGCTGCAATCTGCTCCATCCGTTCGGCCGATGATTCACGGCATTCTGTGTTTCCAAATGCCAAACAGCTGCGGATCTCGGCAGCTCCTTCAGGACTGGGCTGATAACCCCTTACAGGACAGAGGAAAAGCTCTGCCGTGAGCACAACCTGGCCTTGACCGTGCCAGGCACTATCTCCGGCCGTGGGACCGTGTGCCTGGGGAGAGGCAGAGACACAGGGACGGCAGACGGAGCCGGGAGTGGCCCCATATGCTGAGAGAGATGAGAATCCACCCATGAGACACGGGACAGGAGGCTCCCAGCACCAGTATCTCCTGCCTGCAGGACACTGATAACCTCCTGCTGCATGAAGAAGCAAAATTAAAAAGGAAAAAAGTACATCCTGCTAATAAACAAAAAATAAAAAAATAAAAAAGCATTTAAAGATTAGGCCTTTTGCAGGGCCCAGCTGTGGGAAAGCTCATGAGGAAAATGCAGAGCAGGGTCTGATCCAGGCACCCAAACGCCCGCTGAGCAGAGCCCAGGCTGTCACCCCTCTGTGCCCCCATGAGCTGCCCCACGTGTCCCTGCAGGTCAGTGGAGCACAGTGGCCTCCAGCCCCCCGCTGCTGCCAGCCAGGGCTGTGAGGCAGCGCTGGCTCCCGCCCCAGCCCCGCTGCCAACCCTGACCTGCCTGCCATGCAGGAGATGGGCTGTTTTTCCCAGCGGTGCGTGGGATGCAGGAGGCATTTGCAGGGATGAGTTAACTCCTCTGCTGCAGAGCAGATCCTGACATGCAGTGCCCCTGTGCTGGCCTAACAGGTTTCTGGCTTTAAAGGATTTGATGCTGGATACTTTGGCAGTGGCTGCAGTTCCCCTGGGGACAGCCAATGCAGAGCAGGGCTGTGATTTCCCTGGATCCTTCCATCCTTAAATACAGCAGTAACATGGTGCATGTCCGTGACCAATCAAATCAACTCGCTGTGCCTCATTTCTTCATCAGCAGAGAACAAACAGAGACGCTGCCTTGCTTAAAGGAAATTAATACAGTTAATTAACACTTGGCCCTTCTAATATTGCAGGCCCCACTCTCCAGAGCCCTTCCACTGCAATATTATCATTACTGCAAAGCAGAAGCAACAGTTAGACCAGATGTTTGCACACAGTTAATGCTTCTTCCATCTGGGGAGGGGGGAAAAGGCAACCCCAGCAGCCGGGCGGGAGCGCATGGCTGGCCGTGCTCTCCCCATCCCTGGGGAGCCTCAACCCGGCGCTTCCTGGGATGAGGCCGGGTTTGGGACACAGCTGCTGCACCAGCTGCTCCCGCTGGGCTCACAAAGGCTGCCTTCACCCCTCCCCTAATTCATGCAGGAGCTTTTCGGGGGGAGCAGGCTCTGCCCCCTCTCCCGGACTTCTCCAAGGCTTTGAGCGCCGGCGGCGCGAAAAGGGGCGGCCGTGGAGACAAATGAAAGGCAAACGCTGCTGGGAGAAGCGCGGGCAGGGGCTTTCCTTGCATGTGGATGAGGGGAAGCAGATGAATCCCGTCTCCTGCACAGCTGCAGCCTCCCCCCGGCCCCGGCAGCCCTGCTAAGGAGTGCAGACGTGCTCCCAAGATTAGCTGTCTGGCAGGTGCTGCTCCCTGATAAAGTCCTGTCTGCACGGCCCCGCTCTGTCCCGGACACCATCAGGAAGGCTGGGAAGTTCAGACACTCTGTGCCCCAGCGGGATTTAGCCCGCAGCAGTCGCAGAGTTTGGTGTATGCTGGGAAAAGTCTGCAGGTGGAGCCAGAGCTGGTACCTGCGCTGGAAAATCACCTGGCAGCGGGAGCAGGGTGGGAGGAGAGCTGGCAGGATGCAAACCTGCACCCCTCAGGATGCTCGGTTCAGGACAACATGTGGGTGTCCCAGGAGCACATTTACTGTCCCTGTCATCGCAGTCGGTCCTGCCTCCAGCAGTTCCCACACGGAGTGTGCTGAGCTGTCAATGGAATGTGCACAGGGCATGAAGGGGAGCAGGACTTCCCTGGGGTCTCCTGCCAGTGCCCCCGTTCCCAGTTCACTGATTTATTCACAAGATGGTGACCTGGCAGTGTGGCACAATCTTCCTGTGGTGGGGACAGGCAGCTGGGGAAAGCCCAGACCCCCCCAGTTCTGCTGCCCTGAGCCTACAGTCCCTTATTTCTGCCACTTGAGCCATCACTGGTCTGTGCAAACCAAAGCAATTTTCTGTAAGCACAAACTGAGTGTCTAAAGCTGGCCAGTGGCAGAAGAGAGCAGCCCTGGTTTAGGTGTCTCCTATCAGATCCCAGTCCCAAAAGCCAGGCAGTGCCTGTTCCCTTGCAGCTTTTACAGGAGATGACCCAGCCCTGCTTCTCGCAGGACACCAGGTCAGCCCCTCTTTTGGATGCTGGGCACAACAGACTCAGCAGTGAGATCTCTTCCTCTCCTGTGGTGGCATCTGTTTGTAAAGCTCACATCGTGCAGAGTGTCTCTGTGGAAGTGATGGGCACGGAGCCCACTCCCCTCCTGCTCTGCTCCTCACACCCAGCCAGGGCAGCCTGGTCTCATCCTCTGAGCCAAAGCACCACAAACACTAAAAGCCACTCCATTCCACAAGGCTCTTCCATTTCCTTCACTCAAACCCCATGGAAGAATGGAGAGGCTGAAGTGTTTCTGGGGAGCCTGAGGGTTATCAAGGAGTGATTTGGGAATATGCCAGGCTTTAGCTTCTAATTCTCCTTAGTGTCTCCAGCCAGCCCAGGTTCACTTCCCAGCACTCTGAGCATGGTCACTGGCATTGAGAACCCAAAATGTAGCAGAAGTGTTTGAACACTTTTGCTTTTGTCAGAACAAAACCTACAGGTCACCCAGAGCTTCATCTAGAGCAGAACAAGGGCTCAGACAGAGTATAACACTGTGTGAGGAGGAAAAAAACCACTTGGAGGTAGAACTGACATCAGTTTGGAAGATTTGGCTTCTCATGGTCCCAGGCTGGACACTCCAGCATTCCAACAGCTACAAAGCTGAAGGTTTGGTCTTACTCAGCAATTGCTGCATCTCCACTACCACAGCAATCACCTCTACAGCACATTCCCTCAACTTTTAGCTTGGAAGAGGCAGCAAAACCATCCATAGACATCCTTATTTTCTCTATTGGTCAAATTAGGGGAAAAAAAAAAAAAAAAAAGGGTGTCAGCCATCCCAATTTGTTTCTGCAGCTGGCATCCTTTATTCCCTATGTTTCCTGGCATTCCCTGCAGGAGTTAAGTCTGATGATGGGGTCAAAGCAGCACTGGTTGTTGTTTCCAAGCCAGTAACACCAGAGCCCAAGCCATGCCAAAACTGCACCTTCTAAATGGCCTCTCTACATCCAGGACTACACACATGCAATAATCAAGCATTGCTTCATAGATTTTAGCTTAAAAATTATGACAGTAAAAAAAGACAAAAAATTAGGATTTTTATTTTTAGAGAAAGCACAGTATTGTCATATTCAAAGAGTGATTATACAGAGATAATGACCACAAGAAGGCAATTCATAGTGCACAGAGCTACATCAACAACCCCCTGCCCTCTCTTTTTTTTTTATTTTAAACCCAAACCCCAAGTTATTTCTACAAGCATTCTGATCAGTGTCACATGAGTTACCTGAGTTTATGTTCTTTACTTTATTCTATGCTGTCAGAAAATCAGGGCCTGGATTACACAGCAATCATGAAAACAAAATATATATCAAAAACAGAGGTAATAATACCTGTATTATAGAGCTTTTGTTTTGTTTTTCTCCCTCCTCATCACCAGAGACATGAAAATTCTTCTAAGTAAAGAAAAAATTACCTCCTCCACCAATCTGGTAGGAACACACAGGTTGAAAACTCAAGATTAACACCCCAAAAATATTAACAGTGGCAGGCAGACACGATGCCTTATTTCCCCTCCTCCCTTATCTGTTGGGTTTCAAAAGCTGCATCAGAAAACACATTCTGCTTCAGGCTGGCATGAGCCAGGGAGACAAACACAACCTGACAAACAGGGAGCAGTGCACAGCTCGGGGTATTATCCAAAGGTCACCTTTGTGCTGATGCAGGGAACACGAGCTGGAGTCCCAGCAGCTTCTCCTGGGTGAGGGATCTGCACAAGGTTCTGGTTGCTGCAGCAGCACCAGGCAGCTCCCAGCTGGCTGCAGAGCTCACTCTGCTTTGGGTTTCTTTCAGCAGCCAGGGATCATCTCTGCTCTCCCACCCACACCCAGCTCGGTGTAAAGCAGAGCTTGACCTATTCCAGCAGGGCAGGAAAGGCTCATAGCAACAATATCAAAGCTTCTCTGCAGCCTCTCCACCCTGGCACAGGTGCCCAGAGCTGCTGTGGCTGCTCCATCCCTGGAAGTGTCCAAGGCCAGGCTGGATGGGGCTTGGAGCCTCCTGGGATAACTGAAGGTGTCCCTGCCTTTGGCAGGGGGGTGGGATGATTTTTAAGGTCCCATCCAACCTAAACCATGGCACAATTCTCTGATAAATGCCCTGAACAGAGCCAGTTCTGTGGTTATTGCACAGACACAGGGTCACAGCTCCCTGCCTCCTCCAGCCCTTCTCTGCAGCACTGAGTGGCCAAACACAGGTTTTGCTTTCAGAAATACCCTCTCCTTCACTTCCAGCATCAAACACAGCCCAGAACACCTTCCCTAACCCAAATGTCAGGCAGCTGTCTCATTTTTACCTTTGTTAAATAATGCAATTGTCCCGGAAAGGGTTCTCCAGCCATCCCCAGAGCCAGCCCCAGCACACAAGCTGTCCTCCAAAGGGAAGGGAAGCACAGTGGGTATGCCAGGGCAGCAGGCAGCGGCAGTAAATAACCCTGAGCCTGCTTTGTTCCTTCATAAAATAAATGATTAATAGCCCAGGATAGTCAGTCTGCTTGAAAAGCTCAGGATTGCTGAAAACTTTTGATCAGTTCGATTAATTAACCTTTAAAACTGCCTCTAAGAGAGGCTTAAAATCTGAAGAAGCATAATTTTAAAACACTTCAGTTTTAACCAGTGTTCCTTGCTTTTGACAAACTGAGCTAAGATTGAGACACTCTGCTCCTCTTGAGAGACACTCAGCATCAGTCAGGTGTCAAGGAAGAAATAAAAAGGGAAAATAAAGTTATTGTAGGCAAATAACCCCGTGCTCATCTTAAAATTCAAAACCAGTCGGGCTGGGGGGAGAAAAGGGCCCTTCTTTGTGATCCTTAAGCACTTGGCCATACGCAGGTGGCTTCCCAACTGTCTCTTTATTTCTTTTGCTTTTAATGCTAATAAAAAGGGAACCCAAACAGGGCCCTCCATTCCCCACACAATGCCTTGGGGGAGGGCAGGGAGTGTCACTTACATATCCCAAAAGTCTGACTCAGACAAATTACTTCTAGTTCACTTCCCTACTACACGCCTGCATTGTTCCAACACCTTGGCAGCAGAAGGGGCTCATCCCCAGCTATCTGGTCCCAGGAACAGCCATGGGGGGCTGATGTCATTAAGGAGCTGTCCCAATTCTTCCCTGGGGAAAGCACTGACTTGCAGCTTAACGTCCTGGCCCAGCACAGCAGGAAAACCAACGGCCAGCAAAGGCCAAAGCTGTGCTGCTCCCGGGAGCTTCCAGGCATGGCAGCTGCCTCCTGGGGCTCCACTGCACATGGCTGGAGGCCAGGCCATGGCTTCCTTACAAAGGGACAGATTCCCAAAAGAAAAAGGGCGTTTTGAACCAAGGAGAAGTCGGGCTCACTGCTGCCAGGCTCATTCCACACACTGGATTTTGGCTGGGGTTTATTTTCTAGAAGACAGAGAGCAGTGTGAAAAGGTCAGGAAAAGCCACTTGTCCTGCTCAGGGACGCTGAAGGGCTTCACCAGCAGCCACAGCAGCACAACTCCCAGCACAGGAAGATTATTCCACAAGCCCTTCTCAGAGAAAGAAATACCAGCTACAAATTTAACAGCTCAAAACCTTCTCAGAGACACCCAGCTCACAGAACCTTTTGCTGCAATAATTACACATGGTCAAGGATTTGTGAGTTTAATAGTTTTAGGGAACAATTCCCAAGCCACAGCTGTCAGCTTTCTGAAATCCCATCAATGCTTGCAGGAATTCAGCAATTTTAGCAGAATACCAATGCTCTTATTTGGAACAATATTGAGGCTTCTGACAGAAAAAATTGTGATGCTTCAAATACCCAGCAGTGGTGGAAATAAAGGTATTTATAAAGGAATCAGACCTCACCTGTAGCTTCAGCATTTTTCTGTATTGAATCTTTATGCTTCTCTATACAGAGAAAAATATTTAACCAAAAGAAACAAACCAAATTCCTAATTTTACAGCTTTCATGGGGTCTGATGGATGTTCCAATTCAATTATTCAATCCAGACTGTAACAGCAGTTAATTAGAAGTTAGCAATGAAATTAGAAGTTAAAGGGATCATAGAAAGTTATGATGACAAAGAAGTATCTTGGTTTTTGGGCATCATGTACACCATGGATTTACATGGACAAAGAAAAGTGGAAAAATAAAGAGCAAAGCAGCACTCTAAATATGAGAAACAGTAACAAAGGATTTAGGAGGACAAGGAAAAATGACTTAAGAAGAAATTGAGAATTTTTTTCTACTCAGAAGCTCCCTGAAGTTAAACGTGCTGTTTCAGCTGTACCATTGAATAGGAGAAATTGCCAGAGCCTGGAGGGTAAAGAGTTCAAAGGATGATGAAGAGCATCAGCAGGATTATGAAATGGCATGGGCAGGTCAGGGAAAAGCAGGTGGATACAGGGAAAGTGAACCAAATAGTCCCAACTGAGCCAAAAGGGAACAGGGAACCTAATGAATCTCTTGGAAAGATCATCACATCAAAGCAGTGTGGCAGGAAATTATTTCAGTGCACATCACTGAGTGAACTGTGTAGTGTTACATGGCAGGTGAGTGCCTTGCACTATTAGGAGTTTATTAACTGATTAATTAAACTGGTTTTTGTGCTTTCTCAGCTATCTAGTCAATCTTCTGCCACAGCTCAGGGCGTGCTGCCCTATCCTGGGGCTCAGAAGAAGGTTTTTGAGAGGAAGAGAATTAATAAATTAATTCATGGCCTCAGCCTGGCTCAGCAATGAGCCTGCACAAACTACAGGTACAAAATCAGATTCAAATCTGGGTACAGCCAACATGTGCCACTGCTGTGGAGGGCAGATTCTGGACCTCAGAGAAGCCCTTGTCATGCTCCACCAAAATAAAAGTGCTTGGTAAATGTTGCTCCCTTGGACACACAAAGTCCCCAGTGTGACATCCAAGGGCTGGTTGTAGAGGAGCCCAAATTGTATAACTGTTTTGGTATTTAGTTTAAGAAGCTTTTAAAAGCTTTACAAACAAATTTAAAATAATTACAGGTTATTCATTAGTGCACTCTGCAGAGGCCCAGATTCAGCCCAAGTGCAGGAAAGAAACCAGGCAAAAACAGTCTTTCCAAGCCTGATTTATCAGGCTTGTACAAAACAATCCTAACAGTTCTATTCTCACACGTTTTATTGTCTCCCTGAGGGAAAACTGCAAAGGAATTCTCTCAGGGAGCACACAACTGTCCTTGTAATAATTTAAAGAGGATTTCCAGCCATCCACAGCAATGAAGAAATGATGGCCCTGCTTTCAGAGCTCAGCAGGTCCCTCACTCCCTTCAGCCTCGATCACACTGCAGCACAGAAAAAACACTTCTAAACACTCAGATGAACTATAGGAAAAAAAACACTTCTAAACATTCAGATGAGCCATAGAACATGTTTTCACACTCTCCACTTAGTGTCAGGCTGTCATTTTATAAATACATTTAGTTTTTAAAGAACATACCCCAATGCCACACTTGTAGAGAAAATAAGGCCTCTTAAAAAAGACTGTAACAAGTTTCTGTGGGGCGTGTGCTTGCTCTAAAAGGAGCCAAAAGACTGATCAGAACATTCTGGCCTGGAGACAAGAGCCAACTCTGCTTGATAGATGTTAATTTTAAAAAATCACAGGTCAAGAGCAACAGAATAACCTTTTCCCTCAGCTGCTGGGCAGTCCCATCCCATTCTGAGGTGTTTTACAGTGAAGCACCTACTTGCTATCTGTCCTTTTGTTGTAAATGAGGAAGTCAGACAGGTCGTGCCACACCTCGCTGTCCTCGTACAGGTAGGTCATGGAGGACTGCAGGGAGGGCTGCAGAGTCTCCCTGTGGTATTCAAAGAGCCACAGGACTGTCCCCCACACCAGGGCAGCCACGAGAGGAAAGGGATCCTGCTTGGGCTGTGGGATGTAGCCCTTTTCCACAGCCAGCCGGGACAAACCAAACAGGATCCGGGACAGCAGGTACATGATGATCTGCAGGAGGAAAAACCCAGAGCAGGGGGTAAGGACAGAGCACAGCCAGCTGCAGGGATTCAGAAGTGACAATCCAGCCAGGAGGGGTGGGAACAATTCCCCCACTTCAAAGCAAACAGGCTGTAACCTCCCCTGTCAGCAGTCTGCAAAGCCACAGGTATTTGTGCCTGCTCAAAGCCGTGCTGCTCTGATTTAGCGATCACTTCATGCAACGCTTCTGTGCAGCTGCACAACTTCTGTCTTTGCCAGTTCATGCCACCTCGGATGGTGCTGATGGAACAGACCCAGAGCAGTCCTGCCAAGCAGGTGTGAGCTCAGGAGTCTGGACACAGCCTAACACCAGCCTGAAGGCCTGGCTTAAGTCGAGCACTTTGGATTAATCTGCAGTTCCGTGTTTTCCTCCTTGGTTTGTGACTGTGTGTTAACAACCAGCTTAGAATCAAACATCCCCTGAGCAGCTTGTGTCAGTTCAACCAGTTTACTTCAGTGCAGCTCTAAATGATCAAGTTCTACACTCACAACAGAATTTAACCCTGCGATGGCCAGACCAGGAACACACAGGTAGTGACCACAGCTCAGGTGACAGATGGGAAAACCCCACAGCTTTGGGTCACTTGACTGCCTTCCTACAAACTCAGTGCAGCTCTGGAGGCAAACCTGGGCTTCCAGCAGTCCAGCTGCCCACACTGCTCATGGAGACACACAGGCACACCTGGGACTTGAGTGCAGAGCAGTCAAAGCAGCAATTTGTGCAGAGAATATGATAAAAGAGCAATGCTCTGTGGTCAGAAACAGGCACCACCAAGCACTTCCTGGCACCTTTGTTTTTCCTGGCCAGAGAAACTCTTAGCAAGTGCCTTTACCTGGCTGTTGATGGGATTGTTGTCACCAAACACCAGCCAGCCCCCAATGCAGGCTGCAAGGAAAGTATGAAATGGGATTTTTTTCCCCTGCAGCCGGGACTGTGCTGCCAGGAGCCCCTTGTAGGTGAACACAAAATAGGCCAGGTTCCGGGAATGGGCGTACGTGGCCTGGGCAATGGATTTCAGCTTCTCCCTTAAACTGAGAGAAACAAACAGACAATTAGGAGAGCTCAAGGGCAGGACCCTGCACTCGCTCAGCCTGGTCACTGCATCCCCAACCTACACTGATGGCTTGGGAAGGAGGAGAAATCCTCTCAGCTCTGGTTCACTCATCAGAGCACAGCCCTACCCGGACTATGGACTGTGTTTAATTTTCTCACTACTCAAACAGCCCTTTTAAAACTCTTTTTTTTTTTTTTTTTTTTTTTTGGTTTTTGTTAAATGCAAATCTCTGGCACTCAGGAAAAGGCACAACATGCATTGCTAATTGCTGTAGCCTGGGTTCCCATATTTCAGCACAGGACAGAACACTGCTGTTGGCATCTGCTAATTCCCCCTCTGTCCTCTGGTTCTCATCAACCACTCCATGAGTGATTAACTCCCTCAATTATATATATTTGTGTCTGTTTCACTATCAGGACAAGGCTCAATCATAGCTCACACATCCCCAAGCTTTTTAAACCCTCTGAAAACATGAAAAACGGCAACTGAAACAAAAATATTCTAAGCAGCGACACAGAAATGCAGAATTAGGGTTCATACCTTCCACTCTTGAACAGGAAAGTCATCACCAGGGCGTGTGGGGCACGGATTTTGGCTCCATAACTGCAAAGGTGGACAGGTACTTCATAGACTTTGTTTTATACCACGAAATGATTCTATTTCTATTCTACTAACAGCCTATTAAAGGCTGTTTAGTCAAATATCTATTACTTTTAAGACAGCCCAGCAAACCGGGAGGAGCCCAGCCAGAGGGAGAAGAGCACACGCACCTCAGCGAGCCAGGCCCGAAGGTGACCCCCAATTCAATTCAGACCACCCCAAGTGCAGGTGAGGGAGGCGGAATCACCTCCCCCGCACCCCCGCCACAGCATCCCCGGCCTCCCCACGGACCGGGGGGGACGGAGACCCCGCCGCCCGGGCCCGGCACTCACACGGCGCCATTGCGGAAGCCCTTGATGACGGCGAGCGCGGCGTGGTAGCGGCGCTGCTGCAACAGCGCGTTGGCGGCGCGGAGCAAAGCGCGAATCGAATCCCCAGCGCCCGCCATGGCCCCGCCGGCCATGGCACCCCGCCGCACGCTGCTTCCGGGGGCGGTGCCCCGCCCGCCGCTCCCATAGGTCCGCACATCTGTCAATCACGGCTCTCGGCCAATAAACGGCACCACCTCATTGTCTCATTGATGCGGAGAGTCTGTCCCGCAGCCAATGGGAGTCAAGCGAGGGGCCCCTCCCACCCGCTCCGTGAGAGTAGCGGGCGCCGCTTGAGCCCGGCCCGGCACAGCCCGGTCATGGGCCGAGGGTCGTGGCCGCAGCGGCCTCGCCGGAAGCCCGAGGAGGGCAGGGGCGGCCGTCGGGCTGTCCTTGCCTGGTCTGCTCGGGCTGTGTCAGTGCCGCCCCGCCGTGCCCCGGGTTGAACACGATCCCCACGCCCCTGGGCCTCCCCCACCTCTCCCGCGCCGTGGGGCCGCTGCGGGCGGCGGGCGCCCCCTGGCGGCTCCGCTACCGCCGCTGCTCCAAGATGGCGCAGGCGATCTTCGAGGCGCTGGAAGGTAACGGGGCCAGACCGGGGCCGCGCCGGGACCTCCCGGGCCGCGGCGACAGCCAGGGTGCGCGACCCCCGCTCCTCCGAGCTCCCCCTGTTCAGCGCCGCCGCCGCACGGGACGGGGGGCCGCGGCGGGGCCGCCCCGTGAGGCCCGGCCCGGCGCGGCGTGTGGCGCTCCCGGTAGCCCCGGGCTGTCTCCCGCGCCGCGGGCGCAGCAGCTGCAGTGCCCGCCGGTAGCCCGGGGCTCGCCACGCCGTCCGCGGTTCCCTGCGACACCGCTGTCACCGCCGGTCCCCCGGCCCTGTGCCACCTCCTAGTACACGCCGCGGCATCGCCGCACCGCCCAGCACAGTGCCCTGTGCACCGGCTAGCCCTCATTAACCACGGGCCCTGTGCTCGGTGCACCGCATCCTTACCCTGCCCCGTGCCCGACGCCCCAAGGCACCCTCTGCCCTCCCTGTCCTGTGCCTGCTGCTCTCGGACATCTCCTCCCTACCCTGCCCCTGTTCCTGGTGCTCCTGGACACTCCATCCCATCCCGTAGCTGGTGCTCTAGGCCATCTCCTCCCCTCCCTGCCCTGTGCCTTGCACATCGGGACATTCCCATCACTCCTGTCCCTGTGCCCAGGGAACAGCAGCTCCAATCCCCAGGGCACGCTCACCCTCCTGTGCCTCCCATGTCCCTGCATGCTGGGGTCCCCCGTCCTCTCCGTGCCCCAGGGCTCACAGTGCTGGTCCCAGCGCTGTGCCGTGCTCCGTGCCAACCCCAGCGATCGTGCCTGGGGCGGTGCTGGCCCCTGCATGTGTATTTTGAGGGTGACCGGGCTCTTTGGCACAGCCCGGGCAGTGGCTGTTGTGTGGGTGAATTTGTGCTCAAGTGTATCTCACTTTAGTGTTGGGATATTGTTAAAGGCAGGTGCTATCCAGGGAGGACGTGCCAAGCTGTGGCAGTCTTACACTGTCCTGCCTCTTTGGAGAGACACTATTTCATAGGCATTGATTTCCTAAATTGGATTACAGATGTATTTTCCTTTAAATGGGGACACCCCACTGCCGGGGAGGCGTGGCATTGCCGTTGTCACCTGTGCTTTTGAATATCACCTGTGACTACAGCAGCAGAGAGAGAAGCAGAGAAAAAATATTTTTCTCTATTTTGTCAGGTTACTTGGTGCATTTGCCAGCATCCTGCCTAGAATCAGGTCCCTATTTCCTCTATGCAACCAGCTTCTCATTGTGTTAGTTTCCCTGTAGAATTCTGGACAGAAAAGCTTTTTAGCAAACTGAAAAAAAGTGGGTTTTTTTTAAGCCCACAGCAACTGGCAGCTTTTAGTGCCCGAGCTTGTTTGTTTTGTCTTGTTGATTGGATTACAAGTCAGTGGTGACTTGGCATTCTTAGGGCAGCCTGCTGCAGGGCACAGGTGCATCTTCACCTCCTGGTACTCCTGTCAGAAAAAAAAGCTTTATCAGGAGGGCAAATTAGCACCTGGGTGACACGGACAGTCTTGTTTCATCTCTAGCTGAGAGAAATTTGAAAGGAAAAAAAAAAGCGCACGTCAGTAGTCCTGTGCTTTTATCTTGGCTTCTCCAAATCAGTTCGTTTTTTTTGTCAGGCTCTGGGCACCTCGGCTCCTGCTGCTGCCAGGACAGAGGGAGCTAGGTGTGTTGTGTTAAGTTCCATCCTGCAGACTGGTGCTGGCTGTAGGCAGGGCAGGATCGATCCAGAGTTTTCTCCTGGAGTCTGTGGATGGCTGTGACTGGCATCCATGTAAGCAAGTGACTGGCACCTTGTCTTCATGGCTTGTTGGCCGTGTCTTCAGGGCTTTCCCTCTGGAAGGTGTGGTGGTGTGCAGTTACTCAGTGAAGTGCAGGTGTTCTGAACTGCCAGATAAATATTCCTGGGCCATTTTTCTCCATCAAGTGGCTGAGTGCAGCACTGGTGATGTTGCTGCATCATTGTGTCTTGGCCTCTCCTCAAGCTTCTTCCTCCTAGTGGGATCACTAGGGATGTTTGGCTTTTTTCCTTGGAAGCTCTGATTCTGTGCCAGAAGGAAACCTAGTTGTCCAGTGCCAGGCACATCAGGAATGCCACTATTTGTGCAATTGTAATTATTCCCTTACTATACTTTGTCTGAATTTTGGATCCTTCTTTTCCTTATAGCTTATTTCTGCTGGAGAAACTGCTCCATGCCTCTCTCTGCTTTGACTGTGCTGTCAGAAGCCTGCAGTGCTCCCTTTGCCGCTGACCAGAGGATTTTTGTGCAGGAGGAGGTGTATTTTAGAGCAGGGCTTTGCCTGGAGTGAGGAGATCCTCCCAGCAGTGTTCCAGCGGCATTCTGCCGGCAGGGCTGAGCTGCAGGGCTGGCTCCAGCTCTCCCTGCAAGCCAAGGCTTGCAGAACTGGACCTGCAGCTTTGCTGTGCCTCTGTGATCTGTGTGAAAGATCTCTGCTTCCCATAGGCATGGTGGGAATTTGATGGGAGTGTGTGATGTTGTGGGATCTGCTGCCTTCCAGCAGCTGCGTGTGCCCTGGGAGGGTGGTGCTCTGTTCTCTCCCAGGGACACGAGCAGGGTTTGCAGCATCTTCTCAGTGAAAAGATGAAAAAGGTGTTCACAGAATCTTCATGTGACATACTTCACACTGGAAATGCAGGAGAAATGAGTATTTAGGGTATCTTTAGAAGGCTGTAGATTATATGGGTACTCCCCCATCAAGAAGGTAACATTCCAGTTGTTGAGGAGAAATTTTATGAGAGGAACTTGGGGTGGTGGATGCTCCTGCTGTGCTGTGATCTGTGTGGTGCTTCACTGTCTTTTGTACTGCTGTCTGCTGAGCAACCTCTCCTCATCTCAGCACAATCCTCAGCTCACTGCTTACGAGTGATCAGACCAATTGATTTTCCTGTCCTGTGGCACATAGTTCTGAGTTCAGAGCTTGGCAGTTTCACTTTACAAAGATCTGGAAGTGAAAAACCACCTAAGAACCCCCAGCTTTCTTCTGTCCCATAATCCACAATATATAACATACAGCCCTGCTGTGCCATTTGCTTCCTTTGTGAGTTCTGTGTCATGAAAGCAATAGGAAGGAATGGTGCATAAAAGTTACCCCTTTTTGCTCTTTTTCTTCCAAAGTCAGATTGTCCTTTGTGTCTTTACATTCAATTTCCAAAAAGAAAGAGTGTGTCATTCTTAGTCCACAGTCCCATGCTGCTGGCCAGGTTGTCTCCCTAGATGAGCAGTCCCAATCTTCTGTATTTAGCTGGAATATTTTAAAATGTTTTAGCTGTAGTGAAAAATGTTTGTGCCAAAGCAAGTAAGTTGATCCTAACAACAGATCTGACTGGGTGTGTGTGCCCTGTGTCTGATCAGATCTGGGAGTGTTGGCCTTGAAAACAGGGAGGCATTTGTGACACTGCTGCTGGGAGAGCTGCTGCACACAGGATTTTGTCTGCCCTGAGCTCGGTGTCTGTGCTGCATCCCTGGGCAGTTCCAGCCAGGCTTCTGCCCTGTGACATCCCCACATTCCCTGTGACATTCTCAGCTCTTTTCCTACCCAGGGTTACAAGCATCCTTCCTCCCTGCACCAAGTGCCTGAAACCAAACCCTCTTTTGCCTTTCCTTGCCCTTCTTCCCTTCTCTTTTTGCACCAGAGGAGTTCTGAAGACAGGTGGGAGTGTTGCTGTTGTGTGGTAGTTGGTGCTATGCAGTGGAGGGTGAGAAGGTGAGGACAGAGTAGCAGCTGGGGAGTGGCTCAGGAGGGAGCTGCCAGTGTGTGGCTGTGTTCAGTTCACCATCCATGCTTGTGTCTCCTTTCAGGGATGGATAATCAGACAGTGCTGGCTGTGCAGTCCTTACTGGATGGGCAAGGAGGTGTCACGGATCCGTCTGCTCCCAGTGTCAACTCCTCTGCTGTCATCCAGCCCATGGGTGAGTCCTGGTGCCACTGGGAGAGAGGACAGGGGCAGGAGGGCTGCACATCCCCCCTGCAGCATGCACAGCTGCGTGTGTAGGGTGCTGCTCTGAGTGTTGTGAGCCCTCAGCAGCAGCAGGCAGAGCAGGAGGAAGGGACAAGTGCCCAAGCGAGCAGTGATGTTTTTTGAGGCAAGTCATGACAACAGACTTGACCATGAGCTCCCAATAAAGATACAAAGGGAAGGAGAAGCCACTGTCTCCACATCTAGTGCCTGTTACTGTTCATGTTTTTTATTTAATATCTGCTCCTTCTCTGGAGATGCTCAGGTGCTCCAGTCCTGGAGTATCTGTGTATGAAGGAATATGGGAGCTGGTAATTTGTGTGCATGTGGACCCTCACAGTGCTGGACTAGAACTTGCTGGGTGTATGGGGAGTTATCCCCCAAGGAGTTACAGTCTGTGTCCCCAAAAATGGTCAACTTCAGGCTGTGACTCAGACAGGGGAACAGCCTTGTGATTCAGCCTGCATGGAGTGTAAATGGTGTGTGGTTTGCTAACACTGCAGATTTCAGCTGGGACATGTAACTGGCTTGTCTTCCTTTTGCTTCTAACATCA